AATATCAAAGCAAGTAGTCGGGGTTGTGTGGAATAATTAATTACACTGCAACCAATAGGGATCAAGTGATGCTTTTTTCTTTTAGATACCAGTAGGATGTTTCAAACTCAAAATATGGAGATGATTTTTCTAATCTCACAATTCGCTCCACATGGCAAGTCCAAGCAATGTTTTACAGATTTCATTATGACATCTGTGACGTGACAACAAAGGTCGACTTGGAAGGAAAATGTGAAAGAGTTAATTGTCCGTCTCCTAAGCTATGTGTTGCCTTCTATCGAATGAATCGTTAGGTCATACTTGGAAATGATTTTGCAAAAGGAAGAGATTATTCAAAAGGATTAAATTTGCTCCTGTTCACACACCATTCTGGAATGCATTTGATTGGAGAACACTTCCAGCGCAACTCCACTGCAGCACGATTGTGTATCTACAATAATTCAAGGTGTTATCAACTAGCAAAACTGGGTTGAATAATTTGTTTCATTCTACCTTAACGTTCACTTTTGCATACATCCTTTCTTTGATCGGGACCAAGGTTTTGCATTTACAAGCTCACCACTACAAAAAAAACATCAAAAATGGACGCCTCTGCTTTTTCATTGATGATCGAGAAAGGCCATCAAGCCATAAAAGAGGCATCATCACTACTATCATCTTGGTCGGCATCATCATCAAATGAACAACAAATAGTTATTGATAATATTTTAGACAAGCTTGATGATGTATTGGAGTCTCTCCGAAATGTACCAAACGAACCAGCCAGCTTGACAAGTGACAGCCTTTTTTCACTCAATTCATCATTGAATGAAAAACATTTGCAATGGTTCGATCTGACTCAACAAGTGATTCTTTCACAATGTAAATTGTATTTATTATTGTTACGCCAAGATTCATACAAGAATGGGGATTTGATGAATACTCTGGAAATTTTAATCCGAGAATTAATATCCATTCATGAATGGATGAAAAGAAGGTGTATTTCCATATTAAGCAATCCAAACTACAGCATTGAAAGAAAGAATGAAATTCAAACAAAATTCTTGAAAAAATCAATGAATGATTGGGAGCATCAAGTTGCTCCTGTTTTAGAACAAATTTCACACATTACCATTGAGGACGAATATGAAAAGGAACTTTCAAAATATTTACAAAATTATTTAACAGAGGATGGAATTTCAAAGGTTTGTGTGAAAAACAAGAACCAACAAGAGGGAAAGACAGTCCTACTAAATTGTGAAAGCGTGAATGATAAGGAATTAATTTTTAGAGAAGCTCCAATTTGTAGTCAAATTATTACTGACTCTTCTGAAAATCCACTTTACAGAAAAATCGATCACTGTCATCACTGTATGAGAACGATATTTAGTGAAAAGACCATCTCACAATCACCATTATTGCAGAAAGTTCTTTTCGCAACTACTGATACCAACAATACGAATACTACATCATCACCCTCTTCAATTCTTTCTCAATATTCACAACAGCAGCAACATGAGCAACAAATCTGTGTGAAAACAAAACCCATTTCTTGCAGTCATTGCTCTCTCGAAGTTTTTTGCTCTGAAGAATGTCGAGATCAAGCATGGAAACACTATCATAGTTTATTGTGTACAAGAAATTCCTCAGAGTTGCAGTGTGCCTCCTCCACCAGTGAACATCCCATGATTTTATTGGAACGTTTGTCTGTCAAGCAAAGTCGCACAGCTCCCTTAATGATTGCTAAAATGATGGCCTTTGTGGTGAGTGATGTATTCATCAAGCTTGGACTTGCCAATCAAGAAAATGACAACAACATTGTCGATATTTTACATCAATTAACACCACAAGTGATTGAAACACAACTCTCCAAATCGATGCATGTGTTTCAGAGATTTGTTCAACATGAAGCAACTCATCCATTTGACACACTCGCTGTTCAACTCATTCGAGAGTCCATGGAGTTGTCATTGAATCACCTCCCTTCCAACATGGGTATTATCACCAAGCAAGAACAAGAAAATTTGGTTGAATATTTGAAACATCACCAAGATTTGTCAACAAGTCCACTCGTGAGACAAGTGGTAGAAATGATCAGCGATGTTAGACACTATCGCTCTCTTCATGGATTAATTCTTCAAAATTGCTCCACCATTCATCCCATCACAGATATTCATCTCATTGCTCATGAAAATTCAACATTTTCTGAACAAATTTGCCAGGCTCTAAATGTGAAAAATTTCCAACAACAAGCCACTCGTAAGAATGAACTGTTACAACTTTCAATGAAAGGAATGGGAGCTTTTGCCATTCATAATTGTATGAATCATAGTTGTGAACCTACTGCTGTGAGTGTCTCTGATCAGAACAATCATGTCTTGAGTGTTTATGCACATCATGAAAATGGATTGAAAAAGATGGACGAAATTCTCATTAGTTATGTCGATGAAAATGCACCCTATGAAGAGAGAAAGAGAAAATTATTAGAACAATACAAGTTTGAATGTCATTGTCCTAAATGTGAAAGAGAATCGAAAAAGTAACTCTCAGGAGCGACTATTAAGGCACTTGGAAAATTAAATTCACTTTTTCATGACATTGAATCATGATGACCATAACTGAGGAGAGTATAGACGATATCGTTCATGTACCCTCTCACACTCCTTAACTCTTTTTTTCAATTCATTTGAATTTTTTTTCAAAGTTCAAAATCATCCACTTTGCAAACCAAGTAAAACGTTTTTGGACTTCAAAAAAGTTCAAACATCTCCAACGCGAATCCATTCAGAGTGAACCTTTAATAGAGTTTCACAATACAAAGAAGAGCGGTGATAAGCCTTCAATTGAAAAAAAAACAACTGTATGATCAGAGAGAACAATCCCTGGTGCACCACCAATCATACTACTTCATCTCCACGTCAAGAACTTTACCAAGCAAAGTCACCTGTCAAATCAGCAAAAAAATGTCACTCAGACAAAAATTCTTCTCAAAATCCAACAAGCGGAACCGCATGAGTGGACTTTTCACTTCGTCAGCGCTTGATACCTCCACAGAACTACCCCCAGCTTCATTACAACAACAATTCGCAAAAAACAAGTCAACCAGTGACACTTCTCCCAATTCATCCACACCTTCCTCTCTTTCATCAGGACAAGTATCAACATTTAGCGCTCAACAACAACAAACACCACTCAACAAGTCTTCAATTCCATCGACCTCCTCTCTGATTTCAAATACAACTTCCTCTTCGGATTCCAATCTACTCGCGAGTGCTCAACAAGCACCCCATTCAACAGTTTCAGGACTCTCATCTTCACTCTCTCCAAGAAGTCTTGCTTCCCGAAGATATACGATGGACGGTTCTCTGATGCAACCCTTTTCAGCAGAATCAGAGACGAGTTTATATTCACCCACAACTATATTGTCTGTTGAAGACAATGTTTGTACAACAACAAATAATAATAATAATCATCCGTGTACCAGTAATCATCATCATCCTCACGTCAATGATCCTACAAATTCTACAACAACAGAAACAACAATGAAGAAGGCATATCCGCAACAACATCTTGATGAAAGTACTCGACTACTACAACAACAATTTCAAAGACAGAGTTTTTCAGGAACCATGACGACGAGCGTTGAACAATTATTGTTATTATCAGAGGAGCATGTAGAGCCTCATACGATCCGTTCTTCTTCAGAAGATTTAAAGAAACAGACAGCCTCTCTTCAACAACAGGACGCTGCTGCCGTTTTTGATCCTCATCAGCCTTCGATGTGCAATGGAGGTTCAAGGGAGGAGAAAAATGCATCATTGTTGGAACAGCAACAACCATCACCATCATCACAAGATTCCAACAACCAAACAGCAACAAATACTCTGAAGAATCAACCAGAACAACAACCAGAAACAGAAATAACAACGGAAAATACCAACATGACCAAACAACGGAGATCGGTGAGTATGGCTCCAGCCTTTGGTGGTGGTCATTCTACGAGTAGTAGTGGTACAACGACAACTGCTACTACGACGAGTGATGATATGAACAATAATTCCAAATTTAAAGGAATTAGTAGTGAGGATATTCGGAAGCAACAACAAAATACCTTGAGCTCAGGAAGCACAACCACAACACCCACTTCTCTCGCTCCTTCATCTCATCTCGATGTGTCCAATTCCTCTACATCCAATCACGATCATTCTCCAATCTCACCTATAACGCCGTCCTTCTCTACCACTACAACAACAACAAGTTCAAATTCGAATACACCAAACCAATCATCAGGAACCCTCTCTCATGTTCCTTCCTCTTCATCGATGGTCGATCCAAAAGATAGATTTAAAGGAATTGGCTCAAATCCATCATCATCATCAAAACAAAGTTCAAATGGAAAGTCTTCAACACCAACCAATAACAAACCATCATCCACCTCTACAACGGCATCACAACAAGCTCCATCGCTCACAACATCAGCAAGTAAATCATCGATGGATAGGATGAGAAGCTCACACGATATTGGAAGAGATGCCAAGAAGAAGGACTCCAAGAAAACACTGACCATGCCCTCTCAGTCCAAGAACAAGATCGTCGTGATTGGATGTAGAGGAATTGGTAAAAGCGAAATGGTTTACAAATTCCTTTTCAATGAAATTCGATATTTCCATCAATTGAAGAAGGAAAAGGGGAGGTTGATGGAAGAGTTGAAATCTGTCTCGACACCCACTTCGCCGACAACATCCAATACCACCACTTCCACAACAACAACAACGAACGACACCTCCAACATCAGTTGCACCACCACTACGGATCCACCATCATCAATACCAAGTAGCAAACAAAATGGCACAACACCAGTTTCATCTCCACCTCAACAACAACAACCGCCAACACCTTCTGTAGCATCTTCATGTACTTCAGACGTATCAACACCTTCTAGCCCTCCAATTACGACCACACAACTCAACTCAACCAGTACCACAACATCCACTGGTATCGGAGCTACCGCTTCCACCAATGACTCACTTCCAAAAGATGCGAGCCAAATTGTTGAGAGCGAGATTGATATTTCTCTCAAGGCAACAGATACTTTGGAGGTACGAAGATTAAAACTTCTCATCATGAAGAAGGATCAAGAGATTAAAAAGCAAAAGGAAGAAATGGAAAATACAATTCACGAGCTGTCGAATATGTGGAAAAAAGAAAGAACCGAAAAATTGGATTTGGAACAAGAATATGTGGAAAAAGAGAACGAATTGAACCATTACATTTCAGTGGTAGACCAAATTCATACTCTCATTAACTTGGATCCAAATTCCACCGACTTACCCGATCCTTTTGGCTTTAAATTATCGGATAATCCTAACAATAGTATTTTGAGCCCAAACAGAAGGAAAATGAGTTCTCATCAACAACCTGTTGCCAATACGCTTGCTACTCCAAAAACGGGTATTTCACAACAAATTCCAATCACCACTATTTCATCTCCAACTCCTAGAAATAATTCAAACAACGAAGAATTTTTCGATTTACAAAATTTCAATCCAAGCAATTCTGTTTCATTGACACCCATGTCTGCACAACGAAAACCACGTCACTTGAGGACAGAGAGTACTTTCCAAAAATTACGAACCAACCAATATCAAGTCGTTGCTCAAGATTTTAGAAAATCTGTTGGGGCTGAGGAGGACGCCGATGCATCAGATCAAGAAACAAACAGCCTTGCTGCCGCCACAAATGAGATTGAAAATGATAACGAGGATGAAATTAATCTTTTCTTGAACGAGTTCAATAGATCTGAGGAATCAAATTTGATCGTCACAAGTCAGCTTCCAAAGCTTCAGCCAATGACCCACGTTAACAAAGCATCAAATTCCAACTCTGAGGACAGTACTGGCGAGGAGGATACAGAAAATGATTACTCAGAGAGTAGTGATATCATGTCCGTTTCTTCGAATGCTAGCTCTGGTCCAAAAACCAAGGTTTCAGACTCTAAAGACAGCATTACTCAATCGGGTGTAACGGCTAATAGTTTAATTTTCCCAAGTGCCGGAAAGCTAAAATCTCCAACAATAGTTCAGTCAACTGACTACAAGTACGACGAAAATCTCTTTGTAAAACTCTTGACACCTAGTTTCCATTTAACCGAAGGCTTGAGAAGATTTAACACCGGAAAGCCAAAGGATGCTCTCAAATATTTGACAGAAAACGGTATTTTACCAGATGTTGAAGCTGGATTGACAGAGTCTGGAGAAAGACCTGAGGCTGTCATTTCACGATTTTTCGCCATTGCAGATTCTCTAAACAAGGAAAAATTAGGAGAGTTCTTTGGAGATCCTAAGAATACTGTTTATTTGGAAGAGTTCGTCAAATTCCATATTCAAGAATTACATAGCGACGAGAAGAAACCTGGAGACGATACCTACATGAGCAAATTCGATCGGGCTATTCGGTCATTCTTTATCCAATTTAAATTACCAAAGGAAGGTCAACAAGTGACCAGAATTGCGGAAGCTTTTTCCTCTGTCTACAGCAAGTACAACAAGAATGATGGAGAAATTAATGGAAATGAGGAAGCATGTTATCTACTTGTGTGTTCAATCCTTATGGTGAACACTCAACTTCATAACCCTGCCTCAAATATCAAGCTTACTCGTGATCAATTTGTTAGCATGTTCTCTCTTTATAAGGATGTGAATCAGGCTTTCATTGGTTCCTGCTACGATAGTATAGCCAAGAATGCCATGGTATTTTATGACGAAGACATTGATGCTGAGGACCGTACCAATTTTGAAACAGATGACCAAATAGATCTCTTTTTCAAGTGCTATAAACCCAAATCGTCCTCCTCGTCATCGTCAACACTCAGTACCTCACAAAGTGAAGTTCAATTACATCCACACAGGGCACTAAAATCGCTCAGCTTGGACAATGAAAAAGTGAAGCAACTAATGGAAGGCTCCATTACATTCTATTTCAAAGCCAAGGTAATTCATGATGGTGTGATTAATCGAATTCAAATCAAAGATTCAGATCCAAACTTGGAGTTGGCCACTCAGGAGGGTATCAATGAAGCAGGTATGACTGTGACCAAGGTAAAGCTCAAAGATCCATCCCAAGTGAATGAAGAGGCCAAGTCTGGTAACTACTTTATTTGCTCTTACAGCGTCACAGACAAGACAAGTTTCCTTATTGTAGAGCATATTATCAAGGCCATTCGAAAAATTAAGCGAAAAGAAAGAAAAAAGGAAACTAAGAAAAACAAATCAAGCAAGTCGAAATCCGCGTACAACACTTTGACTGGCTCTGTCACAGAAGAACTTTTGCAAATGCTCAACGATGATGACAGCGATTACAACAATGACAAGTTTATGGTATTGGTTGGATGTAAGGCAGATGTGCCAGATGAACAACGTCAAGTTTCCAAGAAGGAAGGAGGTGAACTCGCTCTCAAGTATAGCATTCCATTCTTTGAAGTTTCGAATCATGACATGGTTGGAATACGGAAGGTGTTCCTTAATGCTGTGGATTCACTGAAGAGACAAAATGCATCGTACGTGGACGCTGTGAAACAAATGAACGACTTCCACAAGCGAATGAACATTGCCAAGCAAAACAAGAAGGGCCAAGTGGATGTCAATGCACTCGCCATTCTTCCCAAGTGTTACATTTAACACTTTTCGTGTGTTGTTGTTAGAAGTGTTTTATTAGCAAACAACATTCTTTTTTCTCCCAAATTTTGTATCATTTCCCTTTGATAATGTTTTAATTAAAATAATCACAATTTTGTGAACGACAACATGCCAACCAACGTTCGCACGAAAAAGTTTATTTCCAAGCACAGACAAATTTGGACAAAATCAAAGAGAAATTTGTGAAAAAAAAAATATCCACATCTCATAACGCTGTAAGTTTTGCATGTTCTTCTTGACGTCAGTATTAACAACGGAGTTACGGAACTCTTTGATGCCATACCACCGGTGGTGTAACACAATGAATCACACACTTGATGATAACCCTATTGTGATAATGTTTGCAAACTCGTGCCTGGGAAATGATTGTTCTTATGGAATGATAAAATTGTTTGCATCATCGACGTCCTCCTAAAATTCTCATCCGATACGTTGCATCTTCTTCTTCTCCTCCTCCTCATATGACAGTCTCATCATCTCACAACAACATGTCTGCCAACTCCTCCTCCGAAACTATTGAAATTGCCAAAGTCGTTAATTTGGACTACAATGACTTGGTCAATGATGTGGATTTGACGGACAAGATTGCTGAAGCCTACGGTCCTGAAGGATTAGGTTTATTGACTGTTTCCAATGTCCCCAATGTGTTGGAGTATAGACAAGCTATTTTGCCTCTTGCCTACAAGTTTGCTAATCTTCCCGAAGAAGTTAAAAACAAGTATGTGCATGAGCAGTCCAATTTCTCATTCGGATGGAGTCACGGCAAGGAGAAATTCAATGGAAAGGTAGGTAGTATGAATATTAATTGTGATGCATTGGACAATGGATTCAAACTAACTTGTTGAAAAACCTTGGCATGACCATGCATTCGGTTGCCATTCAACATGGACAAACACACATTGTATGGACAACACTTAGACTGATGTTTTCAAGGGTTCTTACTATGCAAATCCTGAAGTAGATGTACCTGTGGAAGACAAGGAGACTCAAGAAAAGTATCCATTTTATTGCACACCAAATATTTGGCCTAGGGAAGATCTTCCAGAGATGGAGACTGCGTTCAAGAATATGGGACAACTTGTGGTTGCTGTTGGTTTGTTGGTTGCCAAACAATGTGACCGTTATGTTCAAAAGCATTGTCCTACATGTGCTCCTAACATGCTCTACAATACCATTAGTGAAAGCAAGAATACCAAGTCTAGACTTCTTTATTATTATCCAAGAAGTGACGAAGATGCTAAGGAAGAGGAGGTCGAAAGTGACGATGGCTGGTGTGGTCTTCACTTGGGTAAGTATGTCGCATATGGTACTTGTTAAAGTGGTATCTTGCTGATATTGTGACATTGCTCAATATATCACTAACGACTTGAACAAAATAGATCATGGCTCATTGACCGGTTTGACTGCTGCCATGTATTTCAGGGATGGTAAAATTGTGGAGAATGACGATCCAAAGGCTGGACTCTACATTAAGGGCAGAAGAGGAAATTACATTAAGGCTGGTTACAAACCTGATCAATTGGCATACCAAATTGGTGAGAGTGCTCAAATTCAATCCGGTGGATTATTACAAGCCACTCCTCACCTTGTCAGAGGTCCAAGAACTCCAGGTAAGTAGTCCATGTGAATATGGCCAAAACAATTCATTGACAATGCTGTTATTGCAACTGTGGATATGACATTGGTGTGATTTATGGAATACCTTGACAATGATACTGCATTTATTCTCGTTACATTGCAATTTATTCCATGGAATATTCTTGATTGTTCACTCTTTCAAACGTTGATGATATGAATGTTGTTGTTACCCACAGGCATTGGTAGAGCTACATTGGCTAACTTTATGCAACCAAAGCACAGTGATAAGATGGACATTCCTCCAGGAAAAACTGCCAAGGATTGTAATGTCAAGCATTTTGAAGAGGGAATGACATTCCACGAATTTTCAGAGAAGAAGTTTTCAGAATATTACTAAGATGGTTTAAGATGGTTGATGAGAGAAGCTAATCCAAAGCTCCAAATCATCATGATTGATTTTTAAACGAGTCAGAAATATTACAAGTATTTATCCAAACACATGCCAACAAACTCCGCTGGTAAATTTTGGCTCTTGTTAAACCACCTCGTAATTTGTGTGTACTATGATCATCCGTAAAAAAATGCCTCAACACCGTACTAAGGCTCGTTATTTATTGGGAGTCATTTTGTTGGTGCTTTGTTTCAGCGGTTATACTTTGCTGGAGAGTACACTGGCCACATCATCTACTTCCGACCTCCCGTCAATCAAAGACACACCCAATCTTGATTCAAAGCAACAAACACCCTTAGAAACTCCAAAACAATTATCAAAGGAGGTGTATGATAAAGTAATGGCTACGATGGATGCCCTTCTCAAACGGCTACACCAACAACATTTATCCCTCAAAACGCAAGTAGAGAATGCTCAAATGCAGCTCTTGATCGCCCAACAGGACGAACAACACGCCCGTACCACCTACGAGAAACTTCAAAAGCAATACTTCGCATCCAAATTAAAGAGAGCATCTGCAGCAGCCAAGCTGAAAGCTGCTTTGAAAGCATTCAAACAAGCACAGAAAGAATCAAGCAAATCGCTCTCCCGATACAACAAAATGATCAAGGCAAAGACCGATGTTGACGGAAAATATCAACAGGAACGAAAGAAATTGGCAACTCTCAAGAAGAAGGCTCAAGAATTGTTAGATATTCGCAACAAACAACAGAAAATGAATTAAGGATTCAATAAATTATTATTGTACATTACGACACAGGCACACTGTGAAGAGCAGTTTTTGTCATTTATTGCTTCGTCTTTCCGATCAGTATTTTTTGAACCATGCCAGAAATTTCATCAACAGAGTCAATTTGCAACAATTTGAGGCAGTCACTTTTGAACGCCTGATTTTGAGATTGATACACAATGCCACTAATGGCTTCAGCCACCATTGGAATATAATATTGTGTCATGAGGGCTTGCTTCTTTTCCTTCTTGTTTAGAAAGAGATGAGGTAAGGCAGATTTACAGTGTTCAAACAAAGCCAGCGAGAGTGACTGAAACATGGCTTTTGTCAGTTTGATTCTAGTTTTGCAAGTGGTCTCAATGTTAAAAGCAATATAAATTGATTGAAGAGAAGAGTTAATTGAACCGACTTGCCCTGATTCAAGTCTGAGAACCCATTGATTTACGTACTTATTAATCCAATTCACAAGCCACTCTTTTATACTTACATTAGGCGACTCTTGTCATCACAAGTTGAATTTACATCTTGAAGACCAAAGGTATTGAGCTTGTTGTTTAAAGGTAGAATTAGATTCATCATTCTCTGTGAGAACGACAACGACTTGGACTCCCATGATGTCTCATAAAAATCATCAACCTGATTGGGATGACTCGAAATACTCAACTCACACTTTCTGTTCTTTGCTTTCACTCTTTCCATGATGATCTCTTCTCTTCTGTCCTGTCCAAGTATTTCTCCATTCTTACTCAAACTCGTGAACACCAGCACTCGATTCTTATTGAATGCTTTGTCATGTAACGGTTGCACGTTGGAAGAATTCAAATACTCCACTTGAATAAATGCACTCAGTTGAGTTTTCACAATTTCCGGTTGCAGACTGGTCACCAAAAGCTTTTCAGAGGTCCAACGTTGAGACCTACTTGCTTCAACACATTGACAAGGGTCAAACACAAACTGAGACGAGAACATTCCCAGCGTTATTAATTCTTTCTGTATAAGAGGAAGTGTTTCAAGAAAAGATTGTCCCATCGTCAAGACCAAATGAATGGAAGTAAACTCATCTTCCTTTTCCTCTTGTCGTCGTCCCAAGAGCAATTCTGTAACACTTGGATCCAGTTTTGAGGTGAAAGATTCCATACCCTCAGCGCCATCAAGAGTTTGTTGATCGTTTGTAACGAGTACGATCTTGAGTTGATCAAGGTCGTCATTCCATTTAAGGATTTCATGTTGCACGTCCGTACAAAGGCTTTGTTCCTTGAATGAGGTTGATATCCCTTTCATCCAAATGATTCCGACAACGGTATCCTCTTGTCCTTCCTCTTGTTCGTTCTGTCTTTTACGTTTCTTGTTGTTTTGAATGGATTCAGAAATTGAAACAGTTGGTATCAATTGTACCCGAAACATCTCTTTGATCCATTGTTCTTTTGCTAAAGCTTTATGAAACCTGTCTGAAATCTTTGAAAACCAAAAACAAGAGAGGAATGGATTTTGAGAGGATGGATTTCAATTCCAGTCATTCGCTGTTCCTTTTAAGAACGTACCTTGAGAACCATTTGTGTTGCAAGAGTCAACTCGGCCATTTTTAATTGATAATCATGTGTTGTGAGGCTTTTTGAAAAACAAACCGTAAGGCTTGAACCGTAAGTGGCATGGAAGGCTTGAATCAAGGGAGGTATTTTCTGAATTGTTGTAACCTTTCCTAATTTTCGTTAAATGCTACAGGTTCAACGAGTTTTGAAAGGCACAGGTGAATGACATTGATGAACAACCAAAAAAAAAATTTCAAAGTTGACGCTCAAAATAACGAGAACTACTATAAAATGATAGAAGTCGTGCTGAATGATCGTCTCGGAAAGAAGATTCGGGTCAAGTGCAATGAAGATGATACGATTGGAGATTTGAAGAAATTGGCAGCGGCTCAAACTGGAACAAAACCCGAGAAAATTCGTCTTCAAAGATGGAATCAAATCTTCAAGGATAATATTACGTTGAGTGATTATGAAATTAGTGATGGTAGCGGAATAGAATTGTACTATGAATAATTTATTTGTAATATTTATCTTTTTTTGTTAATTAATTGTAAATAATAGTTATCATCATCAAAAGCATCTCGGAATCAAAATCCAGCAACATTATTGATATCTACAATATTTTGAAACAATAAATCCATTGATTCTTACAGACGAATAATAACAACACAAACAAATGATGAATGAAAATGGATGGCTACGGCCATATCACGATGAATGCACCTCATCCCGTCCGATTTGAGAAGTTAAGCATCGTCGAGCTGCATCAGTACTGAGGTTGGAGACAACTTGGGAACCTGCAGTGCTGTAGCCTTTTTGTCCTAGGGAAGGCTTAGTAAACCTCATTGTTCTTGAATTGTAAGATCTCTACTGATATTTATTTATATTCGTGATCCATTACAAAAGATTTCAAGAAATTAACCCTTCCTGAAGTGGGTGTTCATGGTCAAATAACTTGGTGGTGGCGTGGTTGCTGTTAGCTTCCTTGTCACGATCGTCGTTAAATCAAAGATTCTTAATCAGGAAGCATTCGGCACCGCGTGAGATGTTGCATGCCCTTTGTGACTTGAGTTGGGTCACAAAGGGCGTGACTGCAATACGAACGACTGCATAGAAATCATGATTGCAATCGTTTCTTTTTTTACTTTTACAAGAGACGCTTGTTTGATACGATGCTGGAATTGAGTGTCTATTTATTGCAATCTTGTACAATTTTCACGAAGTATGCAGATGTTGAAACTTTCGAATTGAAAATGCAAAGTTCAGATTTTTCACGACACGACTTTTGAAATGCTGACTTCAACGCCATTAATTTTTAGGACGAGGAAACCTTGCACATTGTTCCATCAGGCCCTTGTCAACTGCATTGTTTACACTCGAAAATAGTCACAATGTAGAGTCGAATATAAATTATTCATCAATATCGTCATTACCAATGCCTAATACTACAATGTCACCTTCAAGTGATTTGGTAACTTTTTCAAACCGTTCTTCGTCGATTGTACCCGAGTTCAATAATCTATATAGAACACACTGAAAACATTCACTTCTTGAAAGACCATCACATTCGTCTTCGGTCAACTCAATCAAACTATTTTGAAAAACAACTTTTTTCAGATAATTTAACTGTTCAGAATTTGACCAAGAATAGAATGATTCGAAAGGCGATCTGTTACGTGAAAACGAGTTTGTGCACAAAGCATCATTGCTATCCACACTAAATGTTTCTCTTCCGTAATCAGGAGAAGTAGATCTTGTTAGGGAAATGTACAATGGATATCCATAGCCAAGAAATATCACGTAATTCATTTGAAAATAATTGCCAAAGTTTTGAATATTTTCAATAAACACTTCCTTAAAAACTCCTCTCATCAGTTTACAAATGACAGACTCAGTAATGACAACATTCTCGGATAAATACAAGTCAGTATTAAAAAATTTTGTTTTCGCGTTCTGTAATTGGAGACGATGCTTCTCCAAGGTCATCTTTTCGATCATATCATCAATTAAGGATGAATTAGGCTGAATCATGTATTGATTTAAACTCGAAAGGGTCTGATGATAAAAGTATGACCTTCTTTTTAAAATAATGTACCACTTTAAAACTTTCCAAGCGCTGTCTAATTGATGAAATTCATGCCATCCCAATTCATCATCATCATGTACATCCCTTGATGAATATCGTTTTCTTGATTTCTTTTTTCGTTGTTGATTACGATCAAAGTTTGTTGTCAAGGTAAATTCAAGTATCTTCACTTGTTCCGAACTCAATTGAAATATATTTTGGATGTAACAAAAAGCCAAGTACTCGGAAAAGAACACATGATTCCACTTGGTACACAGTGTAAATAATTTACAATCATTCCAATCATTGTAATGATGAAATTGAAGAATTTTGTAAATTATCACTGGATCATCCCAGCAGACGATGGTCGACGACGACGAAGAGGAAGATTTAAACATTTTTTGTTTAGTGATTAAAATCTTTGATTGGAACAACAATTAATAATCGTTGTTGAATGTGTAGTAAAATATATAAAAAGGTATTTTTCAATTGCTACATATTCAACAGCCATGAAAGAACAAGAACCACAAATGACAACACAATATATGAATTCACGTAACTTTCACGTCACTCTGATTCATTATTTTATTAGCAATGAAACAACCCTTCTTATTGAAACAATTTTTTGAATAATAATAAATTTTTGGATGTTCAAAAAAAATGCAAACGCACGATTTACTTCTCTCGCCTGCTGCGGCTGCTACCACCTCTTCTACAAGCGGAACTGATTTCTACTTTTCATCCTTGCTCGGTAGGGTCTACACGACCGATAATGAGAATGATACCAACAATAAGAATAGAATTTGCTTCACTCTGGATGGAACGAAATTACTTTCTCCTGCCGGAAATAGAATTACTACGGTGGATTTTGCATCAAATTCTAGCAAGACAAGTTTTTATGGACACAAGTACAATATTCAGTCATTTTGTTTACTTCATAACAATAGAGCTTTATGTACGGTTTCTCAGGACGGAACCATGACATTGTTGAGTTATCCAAAGGGAGTCATTTTGTCGAAATTTGACAAGTTTTTGGAGCCTCGTGTGGATAGTGTCGTTCCATCTCCGAATGGACAATTGGTCTGTTTCCTTGGTTCTAAGTGCTCAATTTACAAATTCCAATCGACTGTCTCTCCCCAAAATAATCTCTTCAATGACACTTCCATGCTTCACCAAACATCTTCGCGACCAATTAAATTGGGTGATGTTAAGGAGGCTGTTTGTCATACTTGTGCCGATTGGATTGGTTCGCAGTTTCTTGCTGTGGGAACCAATGAGGGTATTGTTCATGTTTATAAATTAGATTTGGAACAAAGTAGCGGTATTGAAATGGTTGACCTCTTTTCCAATCATCACGCCCTTTCAGGCAACAAGGATGAAATTGTTGGATGCTATTTCGTTTTCAACAAGACACAACGAAAAAAGAACCCAGGTCAAATTTATTCCATCGACACAAAGGGATGCTTTTTACATTGGGCATTCAATCCAACTAAGAAACAATGGCAAATTTTGAAAAAGGTCGAGTTATCGAGCAAGATAGATCCATCTAAGAAAAATAAGCAAACACGAGGAGAAGGAAAATTAAGAATCAAGTGTTGTAGCTATCATCCAACTGCCAACTTGTTAATTTATGGTATTGGAAATTCAGGATGTTTTGAAATTTTTGACATTGAAAATCAACAAATTATTTACAGATTGAGCAAACCACATAATATTGACGGCATTCAATTTTTGACCAACTCTTCCTCCATTGAGCAATTATTATTGCAGAATCAACAACCAAATTCCGTAGTTAACATTACTTCCAACAAGATGGATGAAGACAATGACATTTCTACCGATGTTACTCTCCCAAACAGCACATGGATTGCATTTTCAAAGGAAAATCAACTCGCTGTTTTCGATTATGAAAGTGAAACATTTATTTATAACCAATCCAACCACGCTTCACAAATTCAAACATGTTGCTACAATGAAAATGGACAGCTACTTGCAAGTGGTGACTTTCAAGGAACCATCAAAGTATTCTCAACGGAAAACAATCAATGTTTTTGCAACTTACCCAATGCTCACTCTGGTCCCATCACAGGAATGATATTCAGTAGACCTCCTGGATCAAGAGACGCTGCTCTCTATACAAGCAGTCTCGACGGTACTGTGAGAGCTTTTGACGTTTTGAGATACAAACAATTTAGAATGTTCACAAGTTTAGATGCTGAAGGGTTTTCATGCCTCACTGTGGATCCAAGTGGTGAAATTGTAATTGCAGCAGGAAATACGACCTATAATATTTACATGTGGAATGTACAGACAAATCAATTGCTAGAAGTGATCAAATCACACACAGCTCCTATCACTCGTCTTCAATTTTCTGTTTCCAGCGAATCGACTCTCATTTCGAGCTCTTGGGATAAAACTTGCAAGGTTTGGAATATTTTCAGTTCAAAACAAGCTGCAGAACCTATTGAATTTTCGGCTGAAATTTTGGATTGTGCTGTTCGACCAACAGATGGAGCTGAATTGGCTGCGGTCATTATGAATGGTGAAATTCAATTCTTTGACTTGTTGAACGTGAAAGCTCTTGGATACATTGACTGCAAACGAGACATTCAAACTCTCTTCTCCAATCCAAACGGTGACTACTTTTCATGCATTGCCTACACTGGTGACGGTCAAAACGTCTTGTGTGGTGGTAAATATCAACCATTTGTATGCATGTATAATGTGGGGCAGAAGGTGTTGATCAAACGATTTATTGTTAGTTTTAACATGTCATTGGAAGGAATGTTCGATATGGATTTATTGAATCCACTCATTAGGAAATTAAGAGATGACAGAAAAGACACCCGAAAGAGTGGCAACAAGAGTAAGAAAATTGGTGAACAAGTCATTCCTGGAAACCAATTAGAACTGAAACCCAATATTCAAGTAGATAGAATTTGTGTGAGTCCAACCAATAGTGAATTTGCACTCGTTTCACCCAATGAGGGAGTGTTAATATTTACCAATTTGACGAAAGAAGGGTCATTCCAGCCACTCGATATTGATCCATCCATCACACCTGAATCTATTTTAGCACTACTTGAGAAGGAAAGCTATACTGAAGCTTTGATTAATTCGATTCGGTTGAATGAACCAAATATTTTGGCCAAAGTGTTCAATGCCATTCCTGTGGAATCAGTGCCACTCATTGTGAGATCGATTCCTGACAATTATCTCGATCGATTTTTACAATTTTTAGCCAAAGAGACAGTCGAGTCCAAGAGATTACAATTTTGCATGTTGTGGCTGAAATCTGTGCTCGCCCAGAGAAAGTTGTCGAGTGCAGCTCATGGTGCCAACTTTAGATCATTGGTGAGAGCGTTACAACAAAAGATGGCAACATTGTCCTATCTCACACAACAAAATCAACACACACTCGACTTTTTATCGAGCTTTACCAAGCCAAAGAGAAATATTCTTGAGGAAGAGAAACAACAGAAAAAGAAGGAACCAAAGAAGCCAGAGAATGAAGTCGTGAGAGAAGAAACTTTAGAAGAGCAAAAATTGAAGGCCATGCTAAAGGCAAGCAGTGCTACCAAGTAATTGTAAAGATGAAAATTAAAAACTCAAATAATTCACGTCAATTTTATCAATCTATATTACTAGATCAAGTCACAGTGAAATTCGGGAAAGGATAAAGTTTTTCCCATATCAACGTTGCTGCTTCTCTCATCACTTATTGGTGTTTCCATGAAAACATAAGCAGGAGGCGATGACTGATTTGAGCAAACTCGGTGATTGGTGTTTAAACCAAAATAAGCTCCATAATAACATTGCTCTATTCTTTCTAAATAAAATTCTTCATTAAACTGTGAAGCAAATCCAGAACTTTTGATTTCTTCCCTTACTTTCAACATGAATTCATTGTCTTTAGTAACTTCTTCTGGGACATAATTCAGAAAAGCTTGACCTCCATATTTTGCAACCTGTAACAAGAACTGTTTATCACACAACAGTTCGTCAGAAGCAAATTGCAAAGAATGGTACCCTTCTTTGATGGCTTCCGACACAATTTCTTGGTCATTTTTCAATTCATAGCTCGCATATTCGAGAGCCCCACTGTATTGTTTGACAGCTGCCAATACGACCTCCTTGTCATCATAGGAAACGTATTGCAGCAACGATCCATGTTGAGATATGGCAAGTAAAACTACGTCCTTATCATTCTTCAACTCTATTGATGCAAATGCAAGAGCATATCCATTTTGACTTATGGCAGCCACTACCACTTGTTTGTCTCTCTTCAACTCGAGGGAGACATATTTCAATGCCCAGCCATTTTGAGTGACAGCCACTAGTGCAATTTCCTTGTCATTCTTCAAACGATCAGAGGCAAATTGCAACGAACAACCATCGTTTCTTACTGCTTTCAAAACAATGTCTCTATCATTCATGAGTTCATTACTTGCAAATTGGAGTAAAAATCCAAAGTGTTGAATAACCTTCGACATGATTTCGTTGTTTGAATAATCGAAAGAGTGAAAGTTGTCTGGACTAATTATTTTGAGGGCTTGTAGCATGAAAGCATCATCTTGAAGTAAATACTGGGGTGTCCATCGCAGTGCATTCTTCGTTTGTTGGATGGCTTCCAATGTCATTAATTTGTCCTTTTTAGAGTCTCTGGAAAACTCAAACCATTGTAACGCTTCGCCATTTTGTTTCAAAGCAGTGAACACAATATCCATGTCTTTCTGAAATGTAAAACAAGCACACAGTGCTTTTCCGTTGAGTCGAACGGCTTCCAACACAAATCGCTTGTCATATTGCAGCTCTCTGGAAGCACGATATAAAGCTTGAGCATCTTGTTTTATGGCTGTTAATAACACTTCTGGATCATTCTTAAAGTATTTCTCGGCAAAGAGTAACTCTTCGCCTTTGAGTTGAACTACTTGCAATACAAACTCTCTGTCTTGTTTTAGCTGTGAAGATGCATATATCAATCCATAACCATACTTTTGGATATGATTCAACACAAATTCAGGATCATTCATAAACTCTACAGGGAAGAAATTTGAATATTTCAATTCCCTATTTAGTAGCCATTTCTTCTTTCCGAATTGTTGTTTCAAGAATTTCTTTTTCAATAATAATTCCAATGAGCTCTGAATAATTTCCGGAACCTCCAACATTTCATCAAATGAAGAAGAAGAAGAATTTAAAAAATCAACCAGTATGATCCTCAACGGTTGATGTAACTTCTTCATCTCCTCATCATCATTATGTTTGGATGACATTTTTTTTTACACGTTTTCCTTAATGCATTCTTTTCTGATCTAGATTTATTATTGACCAATGACATGAGTAGAAATAAAAGCACTGAGAGCTTTGGCCATTTTTTCGTCACCAGAAACCGATGGATGACCACTGCAGCCCCAATCGTTGGTTTGGAAATTTCTCCAAACATCTTCCAAAGAGGCGAAATGAACAGTTTTTCCATAGCTTGGTTGAGATTGTGCAACCTTTTTGATGAACTCGCCATAATTTTCTGTCACTACCACGCTCTAAATGTGATCAGTAAGAAATAAGGAATCAACCAATTGTGAGTGAGTGTGATGAACAATGATTTTCGTATAAAAATTGATAAACACAAGTGTCATAAATATGAGAAAAACAAATCAGCAGAATTGAACCTACCACCAATACAAGTTTAAAAGATGGTCCTTTGAGTGGTAAATACTTGCTCATGATAAAATCTATAAAATGTTGATATCCAGTACTAAATTCTTCATAGGATGGTCTTGGTGGAGTACTGAAATCATTCGTTCCAAGTGTAATCACAACAATATCTGGTATAAAATTCGAAGTTTTGAAATCCCAATTCACATTTGGATTATTTGCCAATGTTCGAGGATAATACACTGGGAATGGATCTTTGGAAGTGGTATTCTTATCGGCATAATTTCTCACCACTCCCTTTCCACTCCAACATTCGACATGAATTTCAGAAGCTCCAAGATATCGTGCGGTCTTTTCCACAAAACTTTCATGAACATCTTGAGTGTTTGGTGTGTAAGCACAGGGTGGTTTTCCTAAATTTCCATAAGCACAAGTAATAGAGTCACCAATGAATTCAATTTTCAGAGGACTATTTGTTTGAATCATGGTACTTTTGGATTGTAAAAGATGTTGTGTTTTTTGATGAGAATTCACTGGTGAAAGAACAAAGTTTTCACTTTTAACAAAAGAAAAGCCATAAAATGTTGCAACACCTAACATGGCTTCTGTTCTCTTTTCAATCTCAATTTCAAGAGTATATGTAGTAAGACCACCAACTCTAGACCAAGAAAATTCTACTCCATATCCAACATTATTATTGTCATGATTAGTGACAAGTGTCAATTTTTGCAAGAATTGCTTTTGTACGGTATTGGATACTCTCCACAAATAAATGTTATATAAATTTCCAACATCTTTCATATGAACCAAGGTTTTCAACACGGCATTGGCAGAATGAAGAGATGAATTTTCCGTATAAACGATTTGAGTTGAAATAATCACTCCCGACCAATCAAATTCAATTCCACTATCATTGTTTTTTCTCAAAAATCTTCCGTTACGGAATGAAATGACAGAACCTTGATCATCACGAGACTCATCGATTGTGGCAGGAATAAATAAACAGGTGGCATCGCTCATCCGATCCTTGCAAGGCTTATTTTCTGAAATTGTTTGCCCATGAATGATCGGAAGAGCTAGCATCAAAAAACAACACAAAATTGATACGAATAAATAGAAAAATGCTAATGCCGATTTCATGTGTGATGACGAGGAGCTCAGTAATTGATTTTGTGTCATTTTTTTTTAATGATCTTTTGCTTTGGCAGCGGGTGAATCAAATTCCATGTACATATGAATGTTCAAGGTCTGCTAAAGACTTCTTGTGGACACATCACTCTTTTACTCTCAACAAGATTGAAGACAAAGGACCTAGTGTTAGAATCCAACTGGATTTGGTTTTATTGTCATCATTACAACAAGGTTATTGTTTCAAAAGGCGCCGAATCTTAATAATTAGCTCCGAACGGACCAAGTTGAACGTTGATCCACAATTCCAAGATTGAACTTCAATTTTTACATTGTAATTGAAAATCAACGATCCAAGAGGGGAGTTTCTGTTTGTCATAAATATATGGAATAGAAATATATTCATCATTCCTTATTAACAACAAAAAAAATGTCTCAACCAAACCATTCTCTCACCAAAGCCTCACTCGCACCAAAACCAGGGGATACCACTGTTTCATCCGAATGGTTGGAATTCATCTTGAGAAAGAAGGGAATATTGACCGATGAGAATCATCATGTTCTCTCTGTAGAGATGAATGGATTGAAGGATAATAGAGGACTTGCAGCAGTGATGAATCGATTAACCGTTACCTATTCCGATCCTGAATGCCATTCCTTGCCAAAAACATTCATGTTGAAAACAAGTCAAACCAGTGAACAAGCGAGAGCTCAATCCAGTGCTCGTGGACAATATCGAGAAGGATTGTTTTATGATAGTGATTTAGTGGAGCAGTTGGAGGTTTCGAAAAATGTCTTGTATGGATTTGGATGCGAAAAAACTGGTGAATATGTGTTGCTGATGAAAGATTTAAAAACTAGTGATCATGTGGTTGGTGCTAATTTTGTGTTTGGTAATCAAGTTTGGGGAATGCCAGAAATGAATGTCAAACTTCCTGAGCCAGTTTCTGTTTTGGAACAAATGTATTTGACTTGTGCAAGGTTGAATGCCAAGTTTTGGAAAGACCCATCATTATTGAGTCATGGGTTTTTGAAAGCTTGTGGATTTTACAAGGGTGAACATCGAGATGTATGGGAATTTGGAATGGCCAATGGAAGAAAGGCTTGGGAAGCTGCCAAAGAAAGAAATGCTCAAAGTGAACTTTTCAAATTCTCTGAAAAATTAATTGGAATTATTGATCGATCCTATGAATTGGCAAGTTGGGAAAATATGCAAAAGGCCATTCATGAAGAACCATTTGCTTTGTGTCATGGAGATTTTCATGCTAGTAACATGTTTGTGAATGTTGAAAATTTGGAATTGTCCTTGTTTGATTGGTCTGAAGTTGGTATTTGGAATCCAGTGACAGATTTGGCTCAGACTCTCATCTCTGATGTGAAACCTGAAATTGTCGCTCAAAATTCCAAACATTTACTGAAAACTTACTATGACGAATTGGAGCGTTGTGGAGCTGACTTGTCTGATTTTTCTTTTGAAGCATGTTGGAACTGTTTCTGCAAGAATGGCCCAGAACGATGGATTTGGCTCTTTTCAGTGTTGGCTTCCCTATCTTTCATTCCTGAAATAGCTGTGAAATATTGGCACGACAATTTGTTGTCGTTCATTGAATCTCATGGTGACTATCCAGTCTATAATTTGAAATCCATTTGTTAATCATTGAGAGAGTTTTGATTTGGCACTTTATCAATTGCAAACCAGTGTATTGAACTATTAAGAGTTACAACCAAATTGTAATCTCTACAACAGGATTGTGTGAAATTAATTGGAAAATAAACACAAAAACGCCCTTGATGAATCTTCACATTTCACAGGCTGCCTCTTCCAACAGACTCTTTGATTACGACACTGTTTCGGGTACATCTCAAAAAAATGTCGCAACAAACCGAGCTCACCCGTTCTATGAAGTTGGTACTTGTAACAAGCCTTCTTGTCATTCTCGCCACTTGTGGATCAATGACAACTGTGTTGGCTGTTCGTGGAGTGGACATGAGTTTACAACAATGTCAGACTGCCACATTGGACAATTGGCGTTGTTTGAAGAGAAATGGCTTTGATTTCGGTAGGTGTTTTTTCGGAACTTGTTAAAAATTGATCCGAAATTCAATGATTTTCTTTTGATTTTAAAAAATTATTTTATTTCTAAATGTGAATTGTCACAAAACACACAATAGCCATCATTGAAGTATGGAACGGAGGCTATCAATACAATAATCGAATTTTACAATGTGTCCAAGACGCCCGTGCTGCTGGATTTCAATACGTCGATGTCTATGCCTTCATGTGTCCCAATTGTCGAAACAATTATCCTGCCTCAGCAGCCATCGAAACAATGCTTTCCCGATTGCATGATTCCAAAGTCGATTATGGTCAATTATGGCTCGACATCGAACAATGCAACGGATGTTGGTACAATGACTTATCGTCCAATGCCAATTATGTCACAAATGCATCGATGGCAGCTGAAAAGTATTTTGCAAAGGAAGGAATGAATCGACGTGTTGGAATTTATTCATCGGTCTATGAGTGGCAACAAACGGTGGGAGGAGAGAGTAATTTGTCGCATTTACAATTGTGGTATGCTCATTATGACAATGCAAGTAATTTCAATGATGCTTGGGTGAGTATTTCATAATGTTGATCGTGGGTTAAATGAATAATCATTTCGTTGCTGACGTTTTGGTGAATGAAGGCCTATCATTTTGGAGGATGGACTTCTCCAGCTATTAAGCAATATTGGGATCATGGTCCTGCTGAATGTGGTGTCGATGTGGATGTGAATTTCTACTGAGTTGTAATGGTGGTTTGTCATGCAATAAACCTTAATATCTTACAGATATTGTCTCGTGTTTGATAATACAGTCCACCTTCAGTCAGCTCGGTCGTTTTCATTGTAAAACATTTTCCCCGTATGGAAAAATCCCACTGTTTCGATTGGTTCTTAAATATCTCCATAAACGACACACAGTACCATAAATGTACATAAACAAGAGCAAAATTCCGTATTCTCCCACTTGCCCTACCACCACATAGATTCAAGCGAGTGGAAATGGGCCAATCCCCAGATTCTACCATCTTCAACATCCAACAACTTTTTTAAAATTTCCTTAATAGTCGTGTTCTTGGAAGAAACAAAAAAAACAACAATATTTCTCTAACACCATCCATCCACACACTACTACTACTCACACCATGGCTCCAGTAATGCAAACCATTGAAGAACAAAAACTCTTCACCGATCTCCACTATCGATTTGATTACGTCTGCAAATTTGTTGGTTTCGGTTCCGAAGATGTTGAAGCCATCCATAACTCGGCTTCCATTTTGGCTCCTCTCGTTCCAACCGTCGTGGATTTGGTCTATGTCAAGTTGTTCTCGTTTGATGTTACCAAGAAGGTCTTTTTGGTGAGAAATGATCAATTCACTGGTGAAATGGAAAAGAATTTGGATGAATTGAGCGATACCAAATCGGAACAAATTAAATTCCGTAAGGATATGTTGAGCAAGTATTTGGTCAAGTTGGTTACTGCTGATTACTCATCCAAGGGTTTCATTAATTATTTGGATTGGGTTGGTAAGATTCACACTGCTAAGGCTGGAAATAAGGACATTGTTGTGGATTACATTCACTGCAATGCCTTGTTTGGATATGTCAGTGATGTCATTTTGGGAACTATTGCCAAGTGCGACCAATTGAGTGAGGAACAACGTGTCAAGACCTTGTTGGCTTTCAACAAGTTGTTCTGGATTCAAAACGATTTGTTTGCCAAGTACTATGTCGATGATGACTGCAGACATGGAATTACCACTGAAAAGTGTTGCCCAGTGAGTGGACAAACTGGTTCAAGCACTGGTGGATGTTGCTTTGCTCAACAACAATCTAAGCAATAAAAACTCTGTTGAACAGTTTTGTAATAAAGGACAAACTTTGTTTCAAGAATTGCGCTTTTCAAAAAAGAACAATATATTAATAATGGAATTGTTTAATTGAGAATATCGTTTATGGATATTGCTGTTCGGAAGGTTTTTGGTGTGGCTAAGGTCGAAATAGGTGGAAGTTGAGTTGTGATCATGTTGTTGGAAGACACACTAGTTGTCGTTGGACTTGATAACAACGTCTCCTCTGTTGTCATTGATGGCAATTGAAACGACGTATTGTTGAGGATATTATTCACTGAGGATCTCGAACCAGACAACAATGCGTCCATCTTGCAACCACTTGTCGAGGAATGATGAGGCACAACATGCTGTTGTATTAAATTCACATTCGTTGTGGCAGTTTGTGTCTGTGGTACAGACATCATGATCTTCATCTTTTTCTGTTTTTCAATCTTATTCATGGTAACCCCCATCGTCTGTGGACTCTCTAGCGTAGCTGGAGTTTTTTGTAGCTTGTTTCCATTTCCAGGTTTATACTCAAAGAATTTGCAATTATTGCGTGTACTTAATCGACTAGTGGTCATCCTCATGACGGATGGACTATAATTCGTAGGGCTGGTGCCACTCCTCATCAACAATGGGTGATTATTCGTGGTGCTGGTGGTAGTGGTGGTAGTAGTATTAACCACTTGAGGAGGTGGTGCAATGAACATGGTAAACATATTTGAGGTTGGCGATGAGGTATATTGCGAAGAAGAAGAAGAAGAAGAAACAGTATTCGTCGATGATGATAAGGATGATGAAGCGCAAGAGGCGTTTGAGAACGTTCGTTGTTGTCTCAAATTATTATTAGAAGAACCAACGGGTCGAGAAGGGCTGCAAGTCAACTTGGATGAGGAGGGTTTAGTAGTAGTAGAAGTATTCGAAATGGGTGGGATATGACTCATCATTTCTGGAGGAATGGTTGAAGTCCTGGCACTGATACTTCTCGACTTGACCATGATTTCTGCGGAATGACAAGTGGCAGCAGTTGGTGTTGTTGTTTCTTTTTCTTCTACTTTTGACCTTAAATGTTCGATCGAACATAGATTGGATGCAGCGTCCAGGGGCTTTTGTTGTTCCCTAGTTGTTGTCATCTTTTCCTTATTCACACAATTTCCTTCATTGAGATTACACCGCAACTGTTTTAACTGTTCAAGAGAAGTCGGTAACACGGGATAATTATTTTGTATATTACTCTCTCGATCGCAATGAAATCCAAGTCCTTTCTGAGGTATTGATTGCTCGATGTTTCTGTCCGTATGATCCATTCCTGTGTCGTATTCAATGTGAATATTTGGAAATGCAAGAGACGTCTGATTGAAATTGGCTAAATGATCTGTTTGAAGTATGGGATAACAATGTTCTGAATTGGTGTCCGGTCTTTTCTTGTCCATCGTTTGGTCATGTTTAGTAAAAGAATGGTTTGGTTTGTCGATTTCCAAATTTGGATAATTGTCGAGCAGAATTAGAAATGTTACAAGTTATTAAGGGATTGGGATGATTGTGGTGCTGCAGCTTCTCAATAAGTGAAGAATGAGTCGGATAATAGCACTGTTGTTGATGAAGTTCTAGATTCAGTTCACTTGTATCTATCTTCTTGTTGTTAAGATCCCAATCGTTATGCAAACATTGATCATTCCTCAACACATTCATTGACGTCTTCGTCGTTGTCATTCTTCTTCGATGTAATGATTGTTGAGGATGATACATTTGTTGGTGGTGTGGTGGTCCTCTCAAATTCATCATCGTCATTCGAGAAGGAGGAGAAGGATTTGGTATTTCTCCAAGGTATGGATGAAATAATGTCGTTGAGTTCGTTGTATTCATAGGAATGGTGGTGGTTGTAGTAGTAGGAACAACGCTTCTACTATTACTATTCATTGTTCGTCGTATGTGTTTGGATGAAATTTCAATGAATATTTGTTTTTTTTAGCGAATAATTATTCTGAAGGGTCTCTCTCTAACAGTTAAGAAGTTTGAATCGTGCCTTTTTAAGGAATATTATGACACTTGATGGCAGAGAGAGATTATGCTGCATGAGAGTCTTCTTCACATTCCAAGCAGCGGATAGCACGGTGCTGCCGCCATGTCAGTATCTGTTATCGCTGATTTTGTATTTCGTTACAATTGCTTCACAAGATTTCATTGTCCTAAAATGGAACGAACTCATAGTAGAGATATTCAATAAGAGTCGAGAGAGACAACCTGTTTTCGTTCTGATGACATGAATATCATTGTGGAACGAGGGTTTATGTGAGATTGATAATTTCCTTTCCAATTGTTGACATCATTGATGTCTAAGATTCAGGTTGAATGTTATTACCATGTGATGCCAATTCCTCTTCTCACCTATTTCACAGTAATAATATTATTGCAATATTTGATTCACTGAAAAAGGACGGAACAACAAGTGAGACATCCATCCAATTTTGCTAATTCATCGTATTTGATAGGAATCAACTCAACATTTGACGCTTGTGATTGGTTCACAGCATTCTTGAAAATATTTTCTGATTTCTGGTAACCACTTTTGTAAATAATGACATGCTTGTTGGTCTTGGAGCTTTTAAAACTCACCACATTGCATGCTTCCTCCTCTGGAACAAAAACAGCCTTGTATTTAAACTGATCATTTGAATGTTCTTCAATTTGAGAGAAAATGTCTCTTCCAATTTCATCATCATTCACGCTTAATAAAATTTCACCATTGGAGCTCAAAAAGTATGTCACAAATGATTTAAGATGAAGTCCTTGTTTCACTTTAACAGGAATTACTTTCCAGCCATATTGTGACAGCACATTTTCATACAACGAAACACCTTCCATGTTCGTTCGTGATGATATTCCCATAAATAAATGCTTGGTTTCATAAATGGCACAACAATCTCCACCATCCACAGTTGCATTCTCACTTTTTTCATACATGTCCACAAAGGTGTATTGAGGAGAAAATTTAGTGGTATTACGAGAGAAAAACAATTCTCGGAATGCATCAATTTCACCTCTTCTGGACAAGGCTCCCATTCTATTGAGCTATAATTATTTTCATAAATGTACCGTCATGATCAATAATTTTTTAGCAAAATTAGAATTAATGCTGATGATAAATATTTACATGGATTAAAACCAACACTTACAAAAACAATAGCTTCAACAACTACGATCGGATCTTCTACAAAAACACAATCGGGGTACCTTTCATCACTTTCTAACTCGATCACATGGTGCACATGAGTTTTCAAAATTGATACATAATCCTCGTGCTCTTTCTCAGCCACGTGTTTGTTGATAAATTCCGAGTCCATTTCTTCAGCATTACGTTTTGAAGAAATTCCATGTGAGACTTTGGACGATATTTTCCGAACGATGGCACTTGCAGCAAACATGATAATATTTTTTTCTAGTGATGATAACGTTTCTGAATCCCATCACGATCAAGATCAAACATTGAGAGTCTCGATTTACAAGAGACCTTCATGATCGAGTCTTATTTAAGCTTTTTCTGACTGAACCATTGATCTAAGCGTATGAACGTAAAGCGAGGTCTCCTGTCAAAATTCAACGAGGTCAATTTCTGTTCGATTAGCTTCTCATTTTCTGAGCTAAATTGATTGTTTCGTAAATTCAAATTCCTTAACTTGGTCATGTTATTCAATTTAGAACTATTTACAATGCATTCAGCTCCTTCTGATCCAAGCCGATTACCTTCCAAATTTAATGAAATTAAATTCTTCAAATTTTCGTCATTCATGGAGTGCAAACTTTCTGGTCCGATGTCATTGAAAGATAAATCCAATAGAGTTAAATTTTTCAATTTTTCGCAAGTAACAATGGCCGTGGCACCTTCTGATCCAAATCCACAGTGAATTAAAGAAAGTAAAGTTAATTTCTTCAAATATTCGCCATTAGCAATACACTTGGCTCCTTCTGGTCCAATTAAGTCTGAAATCGCCAACGATGTCAAATTCTGTACATTTGGACTGTTCACAATGTATTCAGTCCCCTTGAGTCCAATACCACAGTGAGACACATCCAATAAAGTTAATCGGGTCAAGTATTTGCTGTTGGCAAGACAGTTGGCACCTTCTGGTTCAATTAAATACAAATTGAGTGAGGTTAAATTCTTCAAGGTTGGGCTGTTGGCGAGGGATTTCATACCTCCTGGTCCAATAGAGTTGAATGCCAAATCTAAATACGTTAAATTCTTTAAATACTCGCTGTTGGCAATAGAGTCAATACCACCTTCCTTGATATTGTTGGAAGATAGATCTAAGGAAGTCAATTTTGTGAAGTTTTGACTGTTGGCGATGAATTTTGCTCCTTCTGATGCAAATTCACATCCATGAACATGCAACACAGTCAAGTTCTTCAAATTTTTTCCATTTGAAATGCATTTCGCACCTTCTGAACCAAGTTGTGGATTTGTTGACAAGTTTAAGAAGGTTAAATTTTTCAAGCTGTCACTGTTGGCAATGACTAGAGCACCAATTGGGCCTATTTCATTTGAAGACAAATCGAGATGAGTTAATTGCGTCAATTTTTCACTACATGCAACATATTGAGCATCAATGGATGTCATTTGATTTGAAGCCAAATTCAAAAACTTTAAATTTTTAACATTTTCACTCCTCATCATCAATACCAGTCCGAATGTGCGTATTTCATTGCCAAGCAACGATAAGCAAGTTAAGTTTTTAAATGTTTCACTATTCGCAATAGCTTCGGCCCCTTTTGTGCCAATACAATTGTCAGATAAATCTAAAAACGTTAAATTCTTCAAGTGTTGACTAGTCGTAATATATTGAACCCCTTTTGGTCCGATTTTGGAACGGGGTAAATTTACTGATGAAATGAAATGTTTGCGGCTCACAATACCTGTTGTTGCTAGTGATTGAATATGATGGTTCCTGTTGAGATTTAATGTCGTTAAATTCTTAAAGCTTGGACTATTTGCAAGGTTTTTCGCAAATGTTGGACCCAAGACACGCCTTTGAAATGTTTCAGATGCTGATAAAGACAATGGAATTTGTAATACCATTTCTCTCCATTGTTTTGAAATTTTCATACAAACTCCGATGATGAACAAAGAATCACAAAAGGAGAGAATTTCATGAACCACCAAGTCGGTAAAAAACGGTTCATTATTTTGCATTGGTTGGCGATTACGGTAATTGGTGTTGTTACTTTTCTGATGCGAGGGAATGGTCTTGAATATTTTTTAAAATTGGGCGAAATCCTAGTGAGTCAAAAAAACTCGTTCAGAGGAGTTTGATTTTATTGATCAGTAGTTTGAACTTTAACTTCCTTCTTGTTGTGATCAACATGTTATTACAAAATTTCATAAGGAAAAGCTTGAACCCCAAGAAAAAATTACAAAAAGTCGGATGGATATTCAGGAGCAAGAAAGAAAAAAGAACGAAATCGATAGATTCCAAAAATTAGAATAATTATCGAAAATTCTTCACTTTCACAAGTTTAAATGTATGTCAGAAAAATTCAACAGTTCTCTGGAATAAGAAAGCGTTGTTTGTGCAGAGCCCATACGCGTAGCATGTTCATATGACAATCATGAGCACTCTTGATTAAATTGTGAATATGGTCTTTACCGTGAAAGCATCGACTTGGAAAACAATCAGAGGGAATCCAATTACTGCCTTTGCAGTAAATCGCACGATGATTCACTTTGAATTGGAATTTGTGACCATATTCGTCTTTCGAGTTCAATTTTTCTTACTCCAAATAAAATCTGCTTTTCTTGGTTAAAGGGTTCATTATGGATGGCCACTTTGAAATGATATAGTGGTTGATTGCCATAGCCATTGAGATACCATAATTTCAAATTTCGAATGGATCCAATACTCAATGTGGCGATATACATGTCTTCCAATTCCGTGTCTTTTTCTAAATGGTCACACCATAGAGAATGGACATGAACTTTTTGATGTGAAGAGTCATCAACGATGGACACTTCCACTTGTCCAATAGCTTGCTTGATTCTTTCACAGCCATCAAAATTCTTGCAATAGAAATATAATTTGGCAGTGAGTGAAACATGTTCACAGGTTTCGTGATTTCCTGTCGTTCCCATGTCAGAAAAATCATGTTGATACAGAGCAATATCTTTCAAGAAAATTATCGTGTTGGCATTGAGGATTTGGAAAACTGTTGTTCTACTGGATCAGATTTTTCTGTTAAGGAATTCGATGAAACATCATTCAACTCTACAACATTAGTGCAAAACTGCTCTAATTTTCTCTATATTTAACGGACAACTTGTCACAGAGATGATCTCTTTTCTTTTCCGAGAAAACGATCTTTTTGATGTTCCATGACTTACCGCGATACTATTACTGCTCCTTATCTCGAAATACAGATTAAAAAATAAGCAATGACATGTCGATCCTATCACTGTGACACAACAACAAGAACCGTATTGAAATCTCTCTGCTTGTTGATTGGTCTTCTCATTCTCTACTCAAACATTGCAAATGGATTGGAAAGTTGGCACAATAATTGTCAAGTGATTGACACTTTAAATACTATTAGAAACAGCAGTATTGGCAATACGATGATTAATTATACCCATTACTTGATATCAACTCCATGGACAGAGTCCATGAATCGGTGGAGTTGTAATGCTCTTCCGAATCTGTTCTTTGATGATGGCTTTGAAGGAATTTTAGTGGGAGAATACAGCATTGTAAAAAACAATCCGAATGAAAGGTCCTACTGTCAGACGTTTCAGAAAAATTCATATCTCTTACTTCAATACGAAAAATCTATTCCTTATTTCACCAATACAACGGTCATGCAACGTTTTGTGAATGATTATTTAGAATTAATGTTGTTTGTGAATGTTTCTGAAAGTGTCATTCAAAAACGTAGAGATTTTGCATTTTCTGACAAGTGGAACGTTGTAATTCCAAAGCAACAACTTAATTCTTCGTACGCTCTTTCCATGATTGATTTTGTTCATTCTTTCAATTACTTAATGTACTGTCAAGAGAATAATTCTTATTTTGAATTGTTTCATCGAGAATGGTTACCAAACATTGTCAAATTAAGCTCGTTGCAACCCATTCAAACTTTGGATTTCGTATATGGGCTGAATGTGAACGAATTATGTGGTAATACTGGAGTATATCCATTTTCAATACTTCACAACACACTTCTTTGTGTGTGTTCTGTGAATGGAGTCGAAACTATTGTCTCCTCAGTGAATTGTCAAGACAGTTATGTCACTTTTTGGGTTCCACTCGCTACTCATGCTTCTTTGAAGGCAATTGAATTTTCATTTCATTTCATTCAATTTTTGGCCATAACAATTCTAGTAGCTATTCCCATTGCGTTTAGATATGTCAAAAAATGGAATGAATTCTTGAGTCGTCTCCACAACAAAGTTCAAATATTGAGAGCTGAAAATAATAGTAAGGTAACTTCTCCTACATGCACTCCAGCGTCTCCTTCCTCAACTCCGATTATACTTTCCGTTAAACCCAAGAGGGACTTTACATGGTTGTATGATGCAATTCGAGCCTTATGTGACATCAAAACTATGAGTATGATTTGCTCCATGTTGTCACAAATTTTGATCATCATGAATGCCTTCCTGTATTTGATACTCCCTGGAAATGCGTATTATGGGAATTATAACTTAACCTTAGTGGTGGCAGCTGTCACCTTTCTGTGCACAGGAAATATTCCGCTTGCTGTGACCTTCTATGAAATCTTGTTAGAATTATCATTTGAACGGAAGAAAATTTCAATTGTTGGATTGTAAGTGCTAGATAACTCATTTCTTAATCATGCCACATGCCTCGATATAGAGTAACTGTCACTATTGTTTTCACAAGTCTCTTTGTAGTACTATCTGCAACTTTCATTTCCACTGCTGCGTCAAAATCCATTCAAGGCTATGTTAGAATTGGAACTATTCCAATATCGTTTGTTGTACTACTTGCTTCTTGGACTGTTCTCTTTGGATATTCATGTAAAATCTACTTGTTGATTAGAAAGAATCGAAAGGTCAATTTTCTCAAATTCAAGGTATGTTCAACGTTCAGTAAGTGAAACGCGTTGATACTATATGCATTATAGTTCACTCATTACCTTATTTATCTTGTATTTCCTCTTCTCTTTCTAGTGTATGAAATCGTCTCAGAAGTTTCATATGAATCGGGTATCTATCAGGTCGATGTGCTTTGGACTATTCTCTTCAAGCAACGAATAGCATGTTATATCATTGGAGCAACTTTGGCAGGAATGAATTACGTGTTGTTTTCGAGTCAACATTTCACGAGTACGTACGCTTCGTTACTACAACCTTGTTTTCCTCAGCTATTAGGAAAGATCAAGCAAAACAGAAGGCCTTCCATATAAAGACTTGACCAATTATTCCTGCCTTTGATGATAAAGTTAGTTCGACCAAGAAAGGCATGTCGACAGCACCTGTCGAATTGGTTGGAAACGCCACTCTCGAGAATTTTAATGTCCGAATTCTGGGTTGATCTGAGATCTTAAAAGAATGATGAACAGCTTCATTCGTGGCAGCAATATCATTGGTGATGTTGTTACACACTCTCTCGTGATTAGTCTGTGGATGCTTGAACTCACAACAAGCATTGTGTTGCTAAGCAGCAGTAGCAGCATTCAGGCACAACACCAAGAACAATGGAAACAAAATTGTTCCCTTCTGAATACCTTGTCTCTCCTTCATCAAAATTCTTCTTCAGTTTCATCAGGAGCAACAAGTGGAATAAACATCAGCAGCAATATTCCAATTCTCAACTACACTTCGCTCATCATACAACATTGGAATGAATGGAGTTGCAACTCTGTGCCCAGTATGTTCTTCAGCGCAGCCCGAGGTTTTAATGGTGTTTTTGCTTTGGACGGCAAGTATACCATCGTCACTGCTGCTGACGAACGCTCACCTTCGTCTTTGACTTTTTGCCAAACGATTCGTCAAGCCAATACAAATCCCAGCTACAAATATGACAGAATATTTCCTCAATTTGGAAACAATCAAAGTATGATCACAGGATTTGTTGAAAATTATTTGGAGAGATTAATGGTCAATGATCCAGAGAGTATTGTTCGTCAACCCAGTGAGTTTATCCAAAATGGAAGAAAGAAATTCATTCTAAGAGATGGGGACTTGGACATTATATTCATGGATTTGATCAATGCCTTCAATTATTTGATGTATTGCAGAGAGAATAACTCGTATTTTGAGGTTTTCCACACTCAATGGTTGCCAGCAATGGTTTCACGAAGCTCTGTGAAACAAGTTCAAACATTGGATATTCTGTTTGGGCAAAATGTGTTGGAATTGTGTGGAGACGAGGATACGATGGGCTTTCCTACTCTGACGTTGTTGTGTTTATGTTCAGTGAATGGAAAGACCGTATTCTCCTCAATGAACTGCAGAGACAGTTATGTAACATTTTGGGTTCCTCTTGCTTCACACATTTCGTTGAAAATTATTGAGTTTTCTTTTCACTTCATTCAATTGATCATCATTACCATACTTGTTGCTATTCCTGTCATTGTGAAATATGTGAGAAAATGGAAGGAATTTGTGAAAGTGTGGAGAGTGGGAAGAGCTATCAAGGCTCAATCACCACCATCCAATGACGTGGATATTGTCTCTCCGTCCAATGCTTCGATAACCAAGCCATCCTATGAAGTTTGCTTTGGATTCATCAGAACTTTGTGTGGAATTAGGCTAATGGTCATGACGTGTGTCATGATTGCAGAGATTTTAATCACTCTGAACTCGTTGCTGTTCTTTGTACTACCTAGCAATGCAATTTTTGGAGATTACAACTTGACACTAATTGTTGCTGCAACATGCTTTCTTTGTGTGGGCCATTTTCCATTAGCTGTCACTTTTTACGAAATTCTATTGAAATTGAATCATGACAAGAAAAAGTTGTCAATGCTAGGATTGTAAGTAACAATCAATGACAAAGTGTTCATGCCAGAATTTCAAAATTTTCATATTGGTACACAGAGCCACTACTACGTTGGTATTTTCGATTTTGTTTGGAATTATGAGCGCATTTTTCATTGCTTCAGCAATTTCGTCATTCGTGCAAGGCTATATTAGGGTTGCCACCATTCCAATTGCTCTGGTGTTTCTCATAATTTCATGGAGTGTTCTTTTCGGATACTCAATGAAAATATACTTGTTAATTAGAAAGCATAGAAAAGTGAATTTTCTCCAATTTAAGGTGAGTCGTTAAAGTATTACTATGCTCACATTTTTCACACCATGAGAAATAGTTCACAAAATATTTGATATTCTTAATCTTTCCGATACTCTATTTGGCATATGAAATCATTGCTGAAATTCTCTACGCAGCGGCAGTATATGATGTTGATAATTTGTTTACATCTCTTTTCAGGCAGCGTGTAGGATGTTATGTCATTGGTTTCACAATCATCGGAGTGAATTATGTGTTATTTTCAATGCGAGATTTCAAGTTAACCTATTCTCCCGTTGTGAAAAGATGTTGCCCTGAGCTCTATGCTAGAAATTTTGAAAAACAACAACGCACTTCAATGTAGTGGTGAGGAATGGTTCCATCATCTTCCAAAAAAGTAGCAGAAAGCAACAGGTCGTAGAAAAACAATAAATAATATTGCTACTACTGGATCCAACTCCTCCATATTTTGTTATTAATAATTGAACGACCGATAAGTCTTTTAGAAGGTCCTATCACACCGGTTGCAGAGTGAGATTTTATGTTTGGACACATTTTTTCTTCAAACCACAATTCTATTCGCTTACAATGACATGACCCTTTTTCGGGAGTGGAATGAAGAGACTGGCCAGTAATGATGAACATAATTATCGTTATTGTAGTACCTGAATGGTATCTGTCGAAAACTTGCAGCGCTTCTGACGATGAAACAAACTTGACCCTGCACTGCCCGATGATAGGTCAATGAACGAATGCTACATTTCCTACACGAGTCTTTATTAATTTTAAGCCAAACTTATATTATCAATTCTGCACCAAATTATTCTTGCAGTCAAATCGCCAATTAGCCAATAAATTTTGATTATTAAATTTGATTTTATAACCGTCCGAAATCCACTGCAGCAACAAATTGAAGGAGAAAAAAAATGTGGAGAAGGCTTTTACGACGAGGTGTTCAACAAGCGTCATCTTCAACACCTCCACCCAACACGGAAAACACAGCAAGCCAAGCTGCAAAAACCGTTGCTACTAATTCAAGTCGTTTCGGAAGAAGATTTGTTATTGGATCGTTAATCGTAGGTGGTACCATTACTCTGGGTGCTGTTGCTAAAGCCTATGAGAAGGAAGCAGAGGAAGAGATTGGAGTCATCCGAAAGAAGAGTCGATGGTTGAATTTGTTATTTGGCTCTAAACCTGCAGATGAAAAAACATCACCAGAATATGGTTTTGAAACACCCACTCTCATCAACAGTGACAAATATGGACAATTACTGTATGACCGATTTACTCACTCATTCTTTCATCGTGTCTATTATTTAATTCATATCGGACAAAGATTGGATGAAATTATTTCAATTTTCTCACCTTTGGCTGTTTATGCTTTGGTACACTTCTTCGTTTTAAAGCCTTTCTATAGACTCTTATACACAAGAATTAAATATGTCGAGAATGGACAAGAAATGTTGGAAAAAGCTGAGAGGGATCTTGATGAAAAGTTTTATGCATTTGTTGTTCAGAGTTTGAAGGATGGTGGTACCTGTTTCATCAAATTCTCTCAGTGGCTTTCAACTAGAGCTGACTTGTTGGAGCCTCAAGTTTGCAAACATTTTGCCACACTTCATTCCAATGCTCCAAAGCATCACATGAAGAATGTGAAACAACTTATCAATGAACAATACAGAAAGAGAGAACACACCGATAAAGACATTGTTGTATGGATGGATAGCGAACATCCATTGGCCAGTGGTGCCATCGGTCAAGTCTACAAGGGTAAGATGAGATATCACAACGAGGAGAAGGACAAGGATGAAATCAGAGATGTCGCTATCAAGGTTAGACATCCTCATGTGGAAACACAAATTTTACAAGACTTGAAGATTTTAGAGTTACTATGTGTCATTACGAGTAGATTCCTTCCATCATTGGGTTGGCTTCAACTCCAAGAAAACGTTAAGGAATTCACGAAATGTATGAAATTACAAACCAACTTTATATTTGAAGGTGAAAATTTGAGAGCATTCCAAAAGAATTTTCAAGATTTCAAAAACACGATTATTTTCCCAACACCATACTACTACTCTCCAAATATACTTATTGAAAGTTTTGAACCTGGAATTTCTATTCAACACTATATGGACCAAGCTCGTAGTGACCGTGAGGTTTCCATGCCTAATCCAACTCAACAACCAAACAAGGACATGGATGAGCTTGTCAAAGAAAAGGGTAACAAGCCTATCCCTCCAGAAGTTGAACAACTTGACACAAAAGAGCAACAACGATTACTTCAAAAGAAACACAGACATCGTGTTGCAGAGCTAGGTACTGATCTTTTCTTGAAGATGATGTTGCACGACAACCTTCTTCATGCCGATCTTCATCCTGGAAACTTGCTCGTAAGAATCAATAAGGAGACCAACGAACCAATGCTTGTTGTGTTGGACGCTGGAATGGTCACCCAATTGTCACAAGAGGACAGACAAAACTTTGTGGACCTCTTCTCCGCGATTATTCGTGGTGAGGGCTATTACGCTGCTCAACTCATGATTGAAAGATCGAGAAAGTTGCGTGAAAATAGTGGATACACTCTGACACCAGAAAATGCAGAAAAATTCAAGACAGAAATGGCAGATTTAATTACATTTGTTCTGGATAAGCCCATTGAGGAAATTCAAGTCGGAAAAGTTATGGAGACTGTCTTGACACTTGGACGACAGTATCATGTTCCTATCGAATCTACATTCTCAACCCTCGTAATTAGTACCGTTGTTGTGGAAGGTATTGCCAGACAACTCAACCCACGCTTCCAATTTGCCGTGAGCGCTAGACCTTTCTTGGCAAGAGACAAGACCCTTCGAATGGCCTATATTCAAAGTCGTTTGGGTAAGATCAAGGAAGCTGCCGAAAATCTTATCAAATAATCTCAACTGGTGTTTTCATTGCATCGTTCACATCATTTATTAAAAACTGCATTCTTTATTATGACTGTCCTTTTTGAATTGGTTCTTCAGCATCAACTGCTTCAAGAGCAATCAACTCATGCTCCAACATGTCTGAATAACATATGACATTATGAGGTTTATTAATTCCCTCTTCGATTTGCCGCCAACGGAATTACAACATAAAATCAAGAAGAAAAAATAACTCCACCCTCCAACAACAACAACAACATGTCTGAAAATAAGAAGGCCGTGATCAAAAACGCTGATATGGAAGAAAACATGCAACGGGATGCAGTAGACATTGCAGCTCAAGCATTGGATAAATTCAATATTGAAAAGGACATTGCAGCTCATATCAAGAAGGAATTTGATAAGAAATACAACCCAACATGGCATTGCGTTGTGGGCAGAAATTTTGGAAGTTACGTTACTCATGAAACCAAACACTTTATCTACTTCTACCTCGGACAAGTTGCTGTCTTGTTATTCAAATCAGGATAATAAAATTCTAAGGAAACTCTAGTTGTACTATACAAATTCTGTTGGGTGGTGTTGCAGTAGTGCACAATTGTTTTGTGGTTGTATCATCATGATGATTCCTCTCAATAACCCTCAAACAACAAAAAAATGAAAGAATTATTGCTCAAAGAAACTCCCTCACTGGCATTCAATAATTTATTGGTTCATACAAAAGGAAATGTATTGTGCTACATTTCTAATGGAAGTATTGTTACGAGAAATTTGTCTGACTTTTTTGCAGGCAAGGGAGAAGAGATGGTCATTCCTAACCTTTCCGAATATGAGGTCAAGAATTTGGCCATTTGTATGAATGGAAAGTGTTTGGCTGCGTCCTGCGAAATTGGGGTGTTGGTAGGTTTCCAAAGAAATATACCTGGACAACATTAGGAATCGAACAAATTTCAATTTTAATTTTAATTATACTTTTAATTTATTGAATGATCTGAAACAACAGTTCTATGACATTGCCAATTTTTCTCTGTTGTACTTTTACAAAATTGAAGGAAATGTTACTTTTTCTTATGGTCCGTTAGCAAGTGACGAACATAGAGTATATGTTGGAGATTCTTCGGGTAACATTACTTGTTTTCGTCTCAATTCCATGGATGACATTCAATTTGAGTCTTCAGCAAATATTGCAACAGTTGGCATCACTGCTTTGCAAGCGTTTTCCGATTCAAAACTTTGTGCTGGATTGGCAAATGGTGACATTGCTTTTATTAACAATCTTAATACAATCATCAAGTTGCACAAAAACAAAGTGGAAGCTCTCGAATATCCATGTACGGGAATTCAAATTGTGAATGACACTGCTGTCACTGCTTTCGGAAGTGGACATGTTAGGTTGTACATCTTGAAAAATGGATTCAATAAGATGGCAGAAATAGGAGCGCATTCAAAGGGAGTTTCTGCCCTCCACGCGTTCGAAGACAAGGGAGCCATTATTTTTGCAACAACCAGCGAAGATTGTTCTGTTTTTATTTGGAAGTACGAACACGAATTTTCTGCAATTAAGGGCGAGCGTATCAAGGATTGTCTGTTAACTGGAGTACAGTTTGTTGAGAGCAATCGAGTATTAGTATCGTCCTTTGAGAAGAAAAGCTGCTATTTATTAGAATGCTAGAATTAATAGATAAAGAACAACCCACAGGTTTTTTAAATAGTAAAATGAAACATTTCCAATGTGACAATTTAAACTTGCTGAGTTATGTAAATTCACAAGCGTCTTCATTTAATCACTTTTTCTAGCAACAGTCAAAGCCATTTTAATCTAAATCAAATAAATACTTATTCTTGAAATCTGTAGCCTGTTGAGGAACTTGTTGTGCCTGAGAAGAATTGCTGCTTTCCATGAACGAGACCTTCTTTTTTGTCACGCTTGGTTCTGTAACCACGATCTTATTGCTCTCTTGTGGTTGTGTTAGGGCTGATAATGAATGAGCTTGTGAACTTGTCAAAGCTACATCTACTTCACTTGGCACGGTTTGCACAAACGAAGACAATTTCTGTGCAGAAATTTGAGTGAGAGAAGGTAATTTTGTCGCTTGGTCCAATTTTTCCTCTTGTGGACTGGATGTTGACGCAATCTCCTCTACCAGTTTTGAAGTCTTTACATTGGTATCTACATGCTTGTGTTGGGTCGTTTCCTCTTCCTCTTTTGGAATATCTTCAAAAGCAACCGGTTGAATGGGATCTGGTATGACTGCAAGCGTCACCTTCAGGGTTTTTGTTTTCTTGTCAAATTTAGCTGAAACCTTGTCACTGAAAACACTGTACGGTAAATGTACCTCGAGGTGATATTTGGCCGATTGCGTAGAATCAAGCTTTAAAAAGTTTTCAGAGACGTCCAAATCGACACCTGCAGCCGAATCAAGATGAGGAAGGAAAATTCGTACTCCAATTTCTGATGGTTTTGTTCGGTTGGAGCTTGTGTACGCTGAATAGGTGTATTCAGACATGTCAAACGCATTCTTATATACAATTTCAAACTTGGGAGTCATTGGTTCATTCACTTCTTGAATTAAATTAGATTTTGTAGATGTCTTTGGCTGTGGCATCTGTAATTCCTTGTCATGATCATCCTCTTTCATGTGAGTTTCAATTTCCTTTCCAAAAGACTTTAACAATGAGTTGGGTTCAAATTTTTCTCTGTCGTTACTTAACAACGATTGAATGGTGAGAGAAGAAGGATCACCCTTACTCTTTAATCCAAGAACTTCAGTATAATAATTCTTTTTGAGGGTCACATTACATTTCTTTTCAACATAATCCAAAGAAAGTTCACAAATAAAATTCTTAAATAATAAATCTTTCAAGGCTCTTTCACAAGTCTTTGTGTTAAACACAACGTCAATGACTGTTTCTTTTTCAGAGTCTCTTGGATGTCCAACAATTAAAGGGATTTTAAACTGAGTACCCTCTGAGTTGTTCAATGATGTGTCAGTAGAAAATTAGAGGTATAAGTTTTTGAGACAGTACGTACTCTTATTCTGTTGTGTAGCTTTTTCTTCCTTGTACATTTCCACTTTATCACTTGAACAAATATTTACAAAGTACTGTTTTGCTTTCTTATCCGTCGAAGAACATTGAATACAAAAACTCTAAAACAGTTTTAGAAGAAACATTAGCATACAACATGTTGAGTACTTTCAACTTACCGCTTTCGGAATAACAATCGAGTCAGGTAATTTACTTCCTTCCTGTTCCAATTGTTTAATATACAAATCGGTTTCTTTCAAAGTATTTGGATCGGAAATTTCCTTGGCATATTCCTCAAACAGCCTCAAAAATTCGGGATCTTTCATACACTGTTCGATTTTGTTCAATTCTTCTTTCGTGATATCCAATTTTCTATCCTTTGAAAAGGAAGGAAGTGAGGTTCCGATCGTATTTCCTGAGGTCGATTTGGCACTCTTGACGAACGTTGTAGACATTTTTTTGTTTTTGAAAATTTGAAATACAATTTTGGCGGAAAATTTTTGTACCATTGCATTAATTTACAAGTGTGTGGAAACGATTACCATGATGTATCACTTACATTGAGGCATGTTCTTCTTATTGGAAGAAGAATGATAAATCGGTTAGTTTGTTGTCCATAAATGCAGTTTTCATCTTTTCTTTGAAATAAATTAATTGCTTGGATATGGATGGAACATAAATCACATAGGTACTCAATGTGTTAAAATTATTGGAAGCAAATCTTGCAGTGTAATTCTCTCCCACTGCATTCTTAATAACGTCCTCATAGTTGGGATCATGAAAGTTGGGTAAATCGAAAACTTCGTTCCTATCTCGTCTTCCAATCTGACCGTACGTGGTCATTCCTTTGGTGAGAACTTTACCCTTATTGGTGGCAATGACCACATGATCGGATCCACAACAAATATTCTCTACAAATTCTCCTGGTGGAAGATGTGGAGTAAACTCTTTCCAGGTTGTTTGTTCATAGATAGCTGGTCTTGTTACTGCACCAGAGCCACTCGTATGATCATCATCTTGATCAGTATTGGGATTGCTGAGCTGTCCATAAGTATTTCTACCTGCTCCGTGTAAACTGTGATCAATAGCTAACACCATTGTAAAATACCATCCACATGATACTTTGTTTACCATGCCGTCAAATCGATGCATACGGTGTGGAAGTTTATAAATCGATGTATCAGACATTCCAAAGGCTACCTTTTCTCCCAAAATATATAAATTTCGTCTATTTGTGATAATACAAATACTAATATAATTGAGAAATTGTTGTCGATTGATCTTGTGATTAATTCCCCATTCTCAGCTCACGATTTCTACATACCTGCTTCCTCCTGTGACCAATTCTGCAACATCTTCATCATCATCCAAATAGGCTTTCAAATCAATGGGACTTTCAACTGGATTGGAAAGTAGCTCACCAGTTCCACGTAATACATTATTCACATCCAAAATCCAATAACTCATTCCTGTTGCTGCGATCATTTTAGCAGTATATTCTTTTTCAAATAAACAAGGATTTCCTGAATCAGTGTCCATATAAACTTTTCCCGATGACATTAAAAACAAGGCACTATTCTGTCCTGTTTTGATATCAACAATTTTATCAGGCAATAGAAGATCGGGCCAAGTCCAACGACGCATATCTCTACCAATATATACATGATGATTACTTGTTAGAAAATAGGATTTGGAAAATTTCGTAGATACTTGTACAATATAGCCTGCTCCTGCGTTTTTCATTTCATTCTCTAAAGTGGATAAATGAACCAATGAGAAGAGATCCGATGGCCCGTGATCACTCTTCACGCCTAAAAACCGATCAGTATTATAACCACAGCAGAAAACAGTACTCGGAAAAGAAAAGAGGGACAATGGAGATGATAAATTCATTTTTTTTCATAAATAAATTAAAACAATTAAAATGTTGTTTGTATTGTTTATGAGTGAACATTTACATGACAGCCATGGGTTGGTTTTGATCAAAGTCTTCACACCAAAGTGAAGAATGATCAAACCATTATGATGTCTGTAATTCAAAATATATATACAAATTTGGAAATGACACCAATTAGTTCGATCAATGATGTAAAATTCCTTTTGGTGATAAAAAGTTAATGACCTTTGATTTGAAATTTGCATGAGCTCCTCTTGGTGTATCTAAATCCGTAGAGGTTGGTCCAATACTATTCTTTTCCAATAATTGTTTGTGGTGTGAAATCATTTCTTGATAAAGAGGTGAAAGTTGAAATCTTTTAAAAGCATCTTGCATGACTGTTTCAATATGTTTGGTAATAGGTTCAAATAAATCTACTAAATCATCCGTTTCATCCTTGACTCGTGTTTTCACAAGAAGAATGGATTTTTTGTCAATATTGATGGCCTTGTCAGAAGTCAACTCGACATAACCATTCAATAACTTGATTGCATGTTCATACCGTTGAGCTCGATTCCTCAAAAACTCATATTTAAGTCTCACCTCACACCAAAATTCAATATTCTCTGAATTGTATTCCTTTTCACAATGTTTGATAAAATACTCTCGATGATGAGGTGTATGAATGGTTTCAACAAAATTATATGAAAATGATTTTTCTCGAGATTCTTCCAATGCAGATGGAATTGGAACAATCATTTCTTCAGCAGCATTACCACGTGGAGTGTTTTGAAGGTTGTGTGTATTCTCCAAAGTCTTGAGGGAGAGAGGTGGAACACTTTTCAAATTAAGGGAAGGAACCTTAAATGGTTGAGTGACATTTGACAATTGAGAATCAAGAAGAAGAGGTGGTTGGTAGATGGTGGTTAAATTCTCTCCCGTGGTAAATGTTTCTTTCATGTTGGTCATGAACTTTTCTTGAAGATTGTCTTGAATTTGAAATTGTCGATTTTTCAATTTCATGTCATCTTCACAAGTTGGATTTGATGAACTTTCAGAATGATCTTTGTGTCGAAAACCATGAACGAGTGATGAAAAGTAATGCTCTCCAAAACTCTTTTGTTTCTTCAAAGGACCTTGATTAGACACATTGGCATTTGACTGATGTTCCTGATCCACAGCATACGAAATCAAATTCGAAGCACTTGTCGATGTCACCTCACCCGATGCACTATTTTGCTTTTGTTTGGCCAACATTAAACTCTTCTTTGAAAGTTTTCTCTTCAATACACTTCCACTCATTTTCGAATTCTCATTTTCATTCAAAATATTTGGTTTTCGAGTGAGAGCTTTCTTCAAACGACTCCATAATGGTCTTCCCTGATCAGATTTCAACTTTTTCGTTGGAGATTCGACCATTTTGTGTTCTTCTTCAACAATTACTTCTTCATTGATACTATGGTCGTCATCGTCATTGTCATGATCACTGTCAACAGGATTCAATCCTTCATCTTGATCTTGCATGAAGGAATTTAGTAAAGCAGATTGAGCAGGTAGAGCATTGGAACTTTGTAAATCTTTACGTGAATTGGTTTCTAGAGTCAACATGGAAGGTTCTTGAGAAGGATTTTGAGTTAAAACAGCTCCTAAAGAACGAACCATACTGGCACCTCCTTGAAGATTTTCATCGGTTTCATCGTATTTTCTCTTACGTGCTGGAGATTTCTTTTTATCACTTCCTGTACTTGAAAAAGAAGAGCTTGCCTGCTGAGCTGTCAAATGTTGCATAGTTTCCATATTTGTACATTTAAGGGAAGTCCCATCATTGGAGTGACCGTGATGATGATGATTCTGCATAAACAAAGTTCGTTGTTCTCTCAACTTATTTTTCAAACTTTCCAACTTGTTCTTTCTATAATCCTTCATGGAACGAATCAGAGATTTCTTTTTCGATTGTTGTTGTTGTTGTTCAATTTCATGAATTTTCTCATTCATTTGTTGTTGAGCATTACCAACCATCATTTTATACGCCTTATCTGGAATGACATGAATTTGTTTAAAACTATTCGATCCATTCGAATGAATATTTGGTGAAGTGAATGGATTTTTCAATGCATTCTTTTTCGCGCTTCGAGAATAAGAATCTTCATAGGCCAAGGAAAGATCCTCAGCCAATGCTTGTCTCTTTTTGTAATAACTTGGAGTTTTGAATGGAGATTGAACGAAGCGAGCATTAGAAGAATTTGCTTTTGGTTGTTGACACGATGCAATTGGAGAACAATCATTGACACTTGACGTGGGAGGTTCGAATTGAATGGGTTTCATGGTCACTGGCAGAGTATGATTGTTGTTTGGATGGTTATTGTTGGAAGAGTGTTGTTGCTGAGAAATTGAATTCTTTGGAGAGGGATTTCGTTTTCGATGATGAATTGGAGTTTTCACATGATGTTGAGAAGACAAGTACAATGGAGATTTCTTTTTTTGAGAACCAGTGGTAGTGGCAAATCTGAGAAGAGGAGAGTGATTGAGGCGAGGTGAATGATGATGATTCATGGAACGAAGAGAGGATTTGGATGGTTGTTGTGGACTGTTTACCATATATGGAGAATATCTGGAAGCTGGTTTTTTACGTTGAAGATCAGTCAACGTGTGAGTTGAAGAAGGATGATTCTGAGGAGAGTCTTCCATGAGTTGATTCGGTGAGATGGGACTCAATACTTTTCTATAAGGAGAAGTCGATTGAGTCTTGTTTCCCAAATTTAGAGATTTTGGAGACGATTCATTTCCTGGACTAATTTCCATGTCATTTTCCTTATTTTCCAAAGGAGAATTCAAATCAAACAATACTGATTGATTTCTATAAAACTGAGAACCTTCAGGAGATTTCTCAAAGGCACGAGATCGAGAATGAATAATTTGAGATTTCTTCAAAGTTTTGGAAAGGTTGGAATTTGGGGATTGTCTTTTTTGAGGAGTTGCAAGTTGTTGTTTCAAAGGTGATGAATGGTTGTTATTGAGAATTTTGGATTGTGGAGATCCAACAGAAGCTTGTCGTTGTTGTTTGTAATTTCGAAGAGGGGACAAGTCTTGAATTCGAAGAGAGGAAGGAGGAGAGAAGGGATTGATCAAGTCTTCTCCGTGGAGAGGTGTGGCGCTGGCTAGAATGTGCTGTGGATCCGTACCAAGTTGTGCTTCGAGGGTCGAGGTTGGATCACTCAATCGTTGAATCATTTTTTTTGACTTTTGGCATTTGAGAAAATTTAACGGTCATAAATTTGCAAGGCGGGAAAAAACAAATGACACTAACATCTTTGGGACATTGTTGGTTGATTTCGATCGTTCAGCCATCCAAGCACTCGTCACAAAGAAGGGTACAAAGATCAAAACAATGAACTTTGCAATTACAAAAAAAAATGTCCAGCAAAACATTTGATGAACTCGTTCCTCCCGAAATTTGTTTTCAAATCTTTACCTTTCTCGATTTCCGATACATGATGGTTCAAATACCAAAAGTTTGTTCTTCATGGAGAAGTGCAATCATTACTCGAGTTCACACCATTCATATTTATCCAAATGTAGAACAATATATTTTTCAAAATTCATTATTTTGTGATGATCAACAGAATTCTTTGTTCGATTCAATATATAATCATGATGATGAAAAGGACAGACATGATCTGAATATTGAAAAAGATATTTTTCCATTTATATCCTATTTAACAAAATTCATTTCAAATCATTCGATGAAAATTTCACATTTATTCATTCATGGAGATTTGAAACAATCATTATTATTGTACATCAATTCGAATCTTCTCTATCCATCTCTACAAAATGGTAATGAATTTAAATCTCGCACTCAACAAGAATCTGACAGGTTGTTGCACTTACTTAACGAATATGGAGATTATTTCCAAAATTGGAATACATGGCCACTTTTTAACATGTATTCGAATATGGATGGAACAGTTCCTAGTGCCATGATGAGATTATGTGATTGTACCATGAGTGCCATCCTTGAACTATTGAAAACTGTTTCGCATTCCTTGAAAACTTTGGTTGTAAAAAACGTTCAAGGAAATCACCATTTTGTATCTCAGATCCAACAATGTCCTCAGTTGAAAATTCTCGTTTTGGAAGATGTGTCTCGATTGTATCATTTGCATGTATCAGGATTAAGATTTGTCTATTGCAATGAGAATTTTTATTCGACTCTTAGTAACAATGGAAATTTACAAACTCCAGAATATTTTCATGTCAATTCCAATCTTGTGGAAATTTTTGACACTTGTCGACATGTTTCTTTTCGTGCGAATAGCATGTCATTGATCAAGCTTGAGAGTTTTCTCAAGCAACATTCAAATTGCATTGAATCCGCAAAAATTGGAATTTGTAAGAATGAATATGGAATGCAAGATTCCATCACCATGAACCAACTCACAAAAATTGCAGAAAAATTAATGCAGTGTATTTGCTTAATGCCACAATTACGACGTCTCGATTTATCATTGGATATGGTTTTCGATATTTGCATGTCACACTCGATCGGTAGCGGTGGCGAAGAAATTTTCACAATTACCAAAGATATGGATTTGACCTCTCTTCAATCCATAAAAGAATTAAGATTGGATGGTATTTCATTTCTAGGCACTGGATTTGGTGTGTTTTTGGAAAAGATGATTCATTTGGAATCATTGACATGCAATTTATTTAGCGAGTGGGATGGAGATTTGATTCTTCATCTCTTGGAAAATCATTTAAAAAACTTGAAATGCTTGGAATTGACCATTTCAAATCATTCATGTTATCCAAGTTTGAATTACAAGCTTTTGAAATATTTATCTCAATTTCTAGTGAATCGCCATAATTCTTCTGAACCCTACAACACATTGACTCACATTTTCATTAAGAATTTAAATGCTCAAGACGACTCTAAACATTTGACGGATATGCTCAATGATTTGTATAACCATTATGAACAGAATCAGCAATGGGAACCATCCATTCAGACTCTGTCAACACCTCGTCTTCATTTAGGTTTTCAATTTCAAAAAAAACCTTTACAAGCGGTATTGCAAGGAATCATTTCGAAATTTTCACAATCAACGACAATTAAGATTCACTTGATGGAGAGTGATAATGCGATCGATGCTGAACCATTCATTCCATTCGATATCGAGTATTCACTTTCAAGATATTCGTTTGAACATTCAACTCCAATCGAACAATTGATTGAGAAACGAAACAAATTCAAACAACTTATTGCATCTTCGAAAATTTCATGTTTGGAATGTGGCATGACATTGAATCGAAAGTTCTATGAAGAGCATTGTCAGAAATTTCATTACTCTCGAGATTTGAATCACAACTCATGGTCACTCACACAGAATTTGGATTTGCAGACGTATGAAATTCAATGTCCATCTTGTCACATGGATATGCAACGATGTGACTTCGAGGAACATGTGGAAAAGGTGTGCCCTCGAACTCGAGTCAAATTACCTTTCCAGGTCGAACGTCAAGCACTGACATCCATCTTGTTGCTTGAAGATTAACTTGAATCTCTTGAATGACTCTAATTTTGACAGGTCAACAATAATATCTGTTACCAATCACGAACCATATATTTATTTATGTTATTTCAATAATTCAAAATTAATTCAAAATTAATTCATAGATTTCATCTCGTTGTGGATCATCTCCCATCACAAACACATGTTCTCCCACTTTTTCAAACTTGTACTTTTCATAGAATTTTTTCGCTCGTGCATTTCGTTCCCAAACTCCCAACCATATGGATTTACATGTCGTCTGATGATCCATTCCAAATTTCACTTCCCGTGCCACACGTAAACATTCTTGCATGAGTCGATGTGCAATACAAGTTCCATGAAATTCCTTCAATACATAACATCGACATAGTTCAATCGTTTCATTTCCTTGATATTTCAAACAAGGTTCAAAAGCTCCATATTTCAATTTACAATAAGCAATGACTAATTTCTTGGTGTGTTTTTTCTGTATTTGAGTATTTGATGAATTCATGTCCTCTTCTTCCGGCTCTTGGACATATGACATTTGTGATTCTAGAAATTGAATTCTTTCAAGAGACGAACATTTTTGTTGTAAATATTCGTTCAATTCATCATCCCATTCCATTTCAATAAATGCAATAAATGTGTTCGGATCTTGTAATTCATTGGTTTGTTGAGTCGGATTGAAGGCTTGTTCCAAATAGGCTTTCATATTTTCCTCGGTGTTGTCTTCTCGAAAGGTTTCATAGAAGAGTGTTTTGGCTACAGTGGTTAATAGAGAAACATCTCCTCGTAGCGAAGAAGGTTTTCGGATGTGAATCTTGTCGAACAAAATCATGAAAGTGTCTTGTCAATATTTTTTTAAAATTTAATTGGACTCGCACTAATTGATTCCAAAATTGTCAATTGCACCTTAGAAGACAGTGATTCATCTGGATCTAGAGAGAAATATTTCCATTGTTTGCACTCTGCACGTAGTCTTAAACATCAGGATCGAATGCTTTTTCGTCAAGACACTTCTCTACAACCTCCTTAAGTTTGGTCATTAAAATGGGTTTGTAAAGAACTGAATCAAATCCAATCTCGGACAATGATGTGACATTTTCCCAAATATTTGCAGTCACAGCAATGATTGGAACATGTAGGTGTGAATTTGACTTTTCATACTCTCTGATCATGGTCACACATTGTTTTCCACAAATATTTGGCATGAGTAGATCCATGAGAATAACGTCATACTGTTTCGTTTGAAACATTTCAAAACACTCCTTTCCATCACAAGCACTGTCCACATCCTTAAATCCCAATAAATGCATCATTTTGCTCATTACTCTTCTATTGACTTGATTGTCATCCACAACTAATATTCGTCCTTCTTTGTGAGAGCCACTACTTTCATTAGGGTTTGGAGAATGTATTGAGGTGTGTTGAGGAAGTTCCGAAGCACTTTCATCAATAGTTATAGAAACTTCTGGTACGACGATCATGCTCTCTCCTTGTTGGAATTGCTTTTGAACTTCTCTCGTACAAAAGCTAATGAGCTGCTGTGCTAAGGTATGGTACAGTTCCTCAATTTTTAGCGGCTTGGTAATGTAGACAAGATTTGGATACCTTCTAGTTCTGCCACGAGTGGAGATTGGCATTAAAATTCGGTTACAGCTGCTAACCGAGGAGAATACATTCTTCACTTGTTTGTGCATGTCCTCCTGATAAATGATGAGAACCTTACTGTGAGGGTTGACAGGAAGATGATTGTCGTTCAAAATGCTTGGAATTTTAACAACGTGACACTCGTGACTCACAAATCGAAGGTACTTTTCAACAATGTCCAGGAAAATATTGTCAGAGTCAATCAAAAACACAGTAAACGGAGACAATTTTGATTTCAATGTTTCCAAGTCTTCTTGATGAACCACAGATTCATAACTGTTAAGACTTGCTTCAGCGTTTCCAATTCTAACAGGAACAATAATGGTAATGGTTGTTCCAGATGATCCAGGAGAAATGTTGCTACTGACAGCAATGGTTCCATGCATTCTGTCAACCAACCTTTTTGAAATGCTCAATCCAATGCCATTTCTATTGGTCAACAACATGCCCAATCCAGAGTTGCTAGAACTTTTTCGAAGAGACTTGAGATAATATTGATCAAAGAGAGAGCCTGAGGATTCCACACTAGGACTAGTGGTGCTTTCTCCGCTGCCAATAGTAACTTCTTGGATCGTTTTAAAAGGTTGGAATAAGTCCTTGATACAATCTGGCTTAATTCCCTTGCCATCATCTTTGCACTCAAATTTCAAAAACACAAAATCTTCATCTGAGAAATCTGGATTTTCTTGAAGCACTGCATTGATGATGCAGTGCTTGTCTATTTTGAACTCTTCTATTAGTTCAGAATCGTCACATTTTGAACAACTCACAGTCACATGACCGCCGTTTGGAAGAGAGTATTTGATGGAATTTGACACTAAATTCATAAGCACTTGAGAAATTCTAATGAACACATGAACAATTGTTAGTATAAAAATGTCATAATTACACAGAAAACTTACTTCACATGATCTCCAATTACGTGTAAGGGTAAGTTGTTCAAATTCACGTACGAATGAAGTGCTACTTTTTTGTCGTTGGCAATGGTGTAAAACACTGACGTAACAGACTCAATCAGTTGTTGCACAGAAAAAGCTTCATAATTGAGTGACACATTTCCAATTTCTAGACTTGATAATTGGAGAGAAGTGCTGAAAACTTGTAGCAATAAATTTGCATTATTGTAGATATCATTCACGAGTTCAATATGAGATTGTGAAGTACCATCGCTCGATGTTGAATCAGTGTCACTGAGTCCATCTTCTTGATCGGAAGGTTTTTGATCTCTTTGATGTAATACACTTCTTCGTCGGCTCTTTCTCTTGTGTTTTAAAGGGCTTTCACATTTTTCATATTCATTCTTCATAATGGTGGCAGCTCCTAATATACCATGGAGTGGATTTCTAGATGTATCAATAGTTTAACTTGTGAGGAAAATCACCAAAATTTCTGCTTTACTTACCTTGCTTCGTGAGATAAATTTCCAATAAATTTTGTCTTCTCTTGACTTAATATCTTCTCTTGCAAGTGTTCAATTTTTTCTCTCAAGCTTCCGTCTCTTTCTAAAGTTTGAATGTGGGAAATGAAAATGTTCATCGTTGATACAAAAATTAACATGGCTGTAATTTCAAATATTCTGTACCATGGTGTGTTTGTACAAAACAATGCCAATGCTGTAAAGAAGATCATAGTGCAGCAGTTAAATATTGTGGTTCCAAGCGTCTCATTAAAAAAGTAGCAAAATACTATAATCTTGGTGAGTGTGACCACATATAGTAGCGTCACTTCATAGTAGGTATGTACAATAAATGCTATTAAGGTGGAGGCCAGACATCGAGCAATAGTTAGTCGTTTTTTCTGAGTTAGAGTCTTCACTTTAGAAATAGTGAGCCAAGTACAGCATACATGAATAATTGGCTCGAAATAGGTAGTAAAACAAATTAGAAATATGGACCGTGATTCTTTCTTGAAATAATATACCATTAAAATTACCGATAAGCCTAGCAGTATATTCAAGTATTTGAAAGACTTCATAAAAAGAAAGTGAGTTTCTCTTGTCAACGCACTTGCATATTCAGAAAAATCTCCTCCAGTGAAAGAAATGTGCAAAAACTTAAAAAAATCCTTAATATCATCGAGCAATGCTTCCTGTGTAGCGTCAGGTATGACTTGTTTATCTGAGTTGAGAGACGGCCGTCGTTGACATGGTGGTAGAAAAACTTTAGTACATGATGGAGATATATTCGAGGGTAGGTCATCAGCAGGTGATGACACAGGTGAGATGGAGTTCAGGGTTGAAGAGTTTGATGCTAATGAAGAATCCAAGAGGGGTTGTTCTTGTTGAGGAAATAATTTCGTTTCTTCTGAGGAGACATTAAGTGATATGTTGCATTCTTGCGGTGTTTTACAATTAAAACTGTTGTTAGAGATTGGCGATGGAGGGAATGTTGCAGACGTGGTCGTTAGTGTCGATGAAGAAGAAGGATAAAGAGGGGATGATTTTGAAGGACAAGAATACGATGATGGTATTATTCGTTGTTCTTCAAACATCTTCTGAGAAGCTACATGATCTCGACAACTATGGCTACTACTGCTCCTAAGATTCTCAACGACCAAGCCGTGATCGTTCATAGGCTCTTCGTCGTCGTGGTGGTGGCTCTTTTGAAGATGATTCTTGCTACTCGTTGGCAATGTTGCGTTCTTGTTACTGTTGCTAACGACAGAAACGCTGTTGGTAGCCTGTTCTTGCCATTCCGATGCGGAGGAGGATGAAGGAATTTGCAGAGACCATCCAGGCATGGTTGCAGCAGTAGATGGCTTGTTTGATGTTGAGCCTCGTGCCGTTGATGAAACGGGCGTTGAAAGAGATGACATTTTGTTTTGGTACAACGCACACTCTACTTGAAGGATGAAAATAAACTACCGAACCAAAGAATATTCAGTGTGTTTTTGCACAGAGAGAACAACCTTTGAAGCGCATCAATCTCGATGGATCTGACCAACACAACGAGTAAATAAGGAAAAGGCTAAAGCGAGCAAATTTTAGAACACTCATATCTGTGCACAGATTCAATCTGGAACAAGAGCATGAGGATATTGCCCATAGAAGCGAAGATGTTGCATCTAGCGTATTTAAATATTCCCTTTTTTCGAAAGCAGGAGGTAATAATAAGGTACAATGCTTTTTTGAAACATTTTCAAAACCTGACGAGAAGAAAAGAAAGTATTTTCGTAAACGACAATGCGAAATCCTACTCTTTACTCTTTCATAAGGATGTGTTTCGATAGTTGAACAAGTACCTATGTCCTGACCATGAATGAGGAGACCACTCCGCACACGCTCCTAATTATCTTTCAAAAAAATCATTGCATCATCACGAGGTTTTTCCTCCCGAACTGACTTTTTGAAAGACTTACCGTTAGCGAAAGACCTAGTGAGATTGATAATCATCATCATCATTCCTCCATAATTATCATCAACAAGAACTTTTTCAACATCCAACAACAATGAAAATAGGCTTGTTCCTTCTTTTGGTCCTTGTTGCTGTACTAGCAACTTCCTCATGCGTCTCTGCGGATTTACAAAACACCACCTACTCGAGTCCGTTCCATCCACTCAACGTTCCACGTGCATCTATTGGTTTAACACCTCTCTTCTCTCCTGATCACTCCACAAAGGAGGAAACCAATCTTGTGTTGAGTGCAACCTCTAGCATTGATATTGCCATTCCGGGATTTGATAGTTGGAGTGGATGCTCGTATCCAAAGAATGGCTGTATGGGTTGCTCTGCTTCTGATTTGTTGAATAATGAAAAGTTTCCAATTTTCCAAGCATTGATTAATCAAATTGTGAGCAAGAGAGTTCGTGTTCGTATCATCACCAACAAGTATGATGATCAATTATGTGACGGAAAGATGGACTTGTTGACCTATTTGAAGATTGCTGGTGCTGATGTGAGATATTACACAACCACAACATTCTTGCATGCCAAGTATATTGCTATTGATGGTTGCAAGGCAGCAATTTCTAGCATCAACTTCTCACAAACCTCTTTCAGAAAGAACAGAGAGGCAGGTATTTTGGTGAACGAGTGTCAAACCTCCTCTGGAATTGTTCAAAAGTTTTCTCAGTCAGTTTTTGAATATGATTTCAAACAAGCTGTTCCTCTTCAAGTTGACTACAGTCAATACTCTCAAAGTGACATTCAACTCGTGAGAACCAGCACTGCAACTGTCACCATTCCAGAAAATTTACACTTTCAACATTGTGATGCTTCATCTGGTACAATTCAAGAGTACAGAGATACCTATAACATTTCCATTAGTGCCAGTCCAGACTATGCTTATGATTTCTTGATGTCTGCATTGCGTCAAACAAGAAAATCTTTGAAGGTTAGCATTTATGAAATTTCTCATCCTGATCTCTGTGATTATGTCATCCAATTGAATCAACAAGGTATTGCATTGACACTTTTTGCATCTCATTATGTCTTCTCTAAATCAGAAGCTCTTGATGCATACAAATGCTATCGTAAGCTTTTGGATAATGGTATTACTGTTACATTGTCTGCAAAGGAGTGCTTGGAATTCTCCCATGAAAAGTATTGGATTATTGATGACAATATTTTGATGATGAGTACTGGTAATTGGAGAGATACTGATTATCCAAACCCACCTTATGTTTTCCCACCAAAGAAGGGTAACGAAAGCAGTTGGAGAAATGTCAACAGAGATTTTACTTTGAGAATTGACGGCTCAACTGCCATTTTGAAGAAATTCGTTGAAGTTCTCAACAACGACTACAACCAAGGATATCCATACAGCTCAGGAACCGCCAGCAAGGCTACCAACACTATGAACATTAGAAATTATTAAATTATTAATTTATGATTCATTCAAAAGAAGAACAGGTTCAATGCGCCTCTTCGAATTCGAATTGACGTGAAACTAGACAGACCAGATACGGCTTGAAAGCTCTTGAGATATCTCTCGATCCCCATCTACAGTCCATATTCGATTCTTGTTGTTGTTATCACAAGATCCAACGATCAGATATCACCACAATGGCAACATTACGTGCAAATGATCAAAAAAATGTCTCCACTGCAAATTCGAACATGTCAAACGAGACAGCAACTAGAGAACCAACAATTTTGCGCATCATCATCAACGATTCAAGTCACCACCCAAGTGGATAAAACATCCACAAGGTGGGAACACGTTCGCTCTTGTTCTGTCCTCAGTCCAAGAAATGTTGAAGGTTGCAGAACTTGTCATCAACAACAAGACCAAAAAATACCGTCGACTTCAAAAACAATAACAACAATAACTCTTCCAAACGAAGAGCATGACCACGTATCATCTCGAGACGTAATAGACACGACGATGGATCCTCATGTTGTCAACAATACCAACAACAACAACACTCACCAACACACGCCGCATCTGTGCTCTTCGATTCCTTCTCGAACATGCTCATTGAAATTCATGAACAGTTCATTGACCAAAGATGATGAATCATCATACAACACCGCAATGAATCATAGACTCCAATCGAATCTGTCCAAAAACAGATTATCATGGACAATAGACGTGGAGTCAAACACGAGCTCAACAAGTCATCATTCTAACAGCAGCAACAACAACTACGAGATGGAAAATCCCAATAAGAATAACACGCATCAGCAAGGTATTTCTTCGAATTTGCGAAAAAAAAGGAAACAAGATGGATATTTTCGGACACATGCTTCGAAATCTGCTCATTGCTTGGAAATATTG